TAGAATCCACGTCCGGAAGGTTATCACACTTATGCAAGAGCACAAGTTGTTCACGAACCTCAAGAAGTGTTTATTCGTGGCGAACGAAATACCACTTCTAGGCTGTATCGTGGGTAAAAACGGCGTACACCCTGATCCGTAAAAGATCAAGGCGAGTATTGAGTGGCCTGTGCCAGTTAACGCCAAGGTACTCCGAAAGCTCCTTGTCGTAGCGAAGTACTTGTACAAGTACTCGCGCAACTACGCCAAGATGACCTTATATCTCTTTCACTTATCAAAGAAGAACGAGAGATGGTCCTGGAGTACCGATTATCAGCACTCCTTCGGAGGTATCACGAAAAGCTTGATACAATCGCATCGCCTGTGTTGGCAATTGCAGACCAAGACAGGCCATTCCACGTGGTCTGTGACGCCAGCAATTTTGCAAACGGCTGCGCGTTAATGTAGTATGAATCAGACGAAGCTAATCGCGTCGTCTGTTATCAATCGCGTCAGCTGCAAGCAGCTGAGCGTAATTACCCAGTTCATGGCAAGAAAATTCTTGCCATGAAATGCGCAGTGGCTAAGGTTCGGGTATATCTCTTAAGAGATAGGCTCTTCACCTTTTATACCTATCATGCGTCGTTACTCACGGCCATGAATAGTTTACACTTCTCGCAACAAATGGCGAGGTGGCTGTTTTTTATCAAGGGTACCCCTTCTCCGTCATGTGTAAACCAGGACAACTTAAAGTCGTCGCCGATGCTCTTTCACGTCGGCCCAATTTCGAGCCGATCTCTCAACCCAACGGTAGGGGTAATTCTACGGTTACGACACTATCAATGAGTGTTTCGTCGTCAACTCTGCCCGACGACGTGCGAAAAGCATACGCAGAAGATGAGTCTCTTCTGCGATTGATGGATTACGTATCCAATCCGTGTAATCAAGCTTTGAAAAGCTTGTCGTCTCAATACCGCTCTTTAACCGAACCGTATTCTGCTCGTGATAGTCTGCTGTACTATACAGCAGTCAACGGCGACACACCTCGTGTCGTCGTTTCCGCTCATTATGATTTGGGACTGCGCCTCATGTATAAGTGTCACGATGACTCAACAAGTGGACATCGCGGTAGAGAAAAGACAAACCTCACGGTGAGTCGTGACTTCTACTGGCCCCGCCAGTATGAGTTTGTGCGCAAATGCATTCGCTTGCAAATTTTGTCAACTGGTGAAGCCTAGTCCTTTCCCCCGCGCACCCTTGCAGCCTCTACCGTTTCCGTCAGAGTGTTGGCAGTCCGTATCGATGGACTTCGTCTTCGACTTTCCCAAAAAAACTCACAAGAATACTGGTATTCTTGTGTTTGTTGATCGGTTCAGCATGATGGTACATCTTGTCGCTGTACCAGAGTCGATCACAGCCCAGGACTGTGCACATGTCTTCGTCGATACTATCTTCCGACTTCACGGGTAACCCCGTGAACTCGTGTCTGATTAAAAACCCCGCTTCACAGCGGAGTTCTGGCAATCCGTGTTCCGTTCACTTGAAACACGTTTAAGGATGTCAACTTCTGACCATCCAGAAACAGATGGTCAGACAGAACGCCTCCACCGCATCCTCGAAGATATAATTTGATGGAACGTCCACTCGTTTTCGAGTTGGAGTGAGTTCTTGCCGATGGTAAAATTCTCCATCGACAACTCGGTGTATGCGTCGACTTCGTTTACACCGTTCTTCGTGAATGGCCTACTCCATCTACGTTCACCCGCCTTCTTAGAGTGTGACTCTATTTTAAGGGGGGGTGGACTTACTCGAACAACATCCGTTCCGGTTCTTGCTCATCACACGTCGCCAATGATGTCGAAGTGATAGATGCTGATGCCGATGTGATCGACATCGATGATGATGATAAAGACGATTCTGGTATGTCCAGCATCGCCAACAACTGCTACAGTGAGGAAGATGACGCCCTCACTGATAAAGAAAACATTCTTTCGGCAGTGTGCACAAAGCGCACTGCTATTAACAAGGACGAATCAGCAGAGCAATTTCCGCTGACTCGCTAAGCGGTTGTCCACTTCGTTCAAGACTGTATTGCAGATGCAATAGACAAGCAGAAAAGAGACAGACAAACATGGAAGAGCAAACGTTCTTTCATCCAATATATTAGGTTTAGTTTTACTGTCTACAGTAAATTTACCAAAACGCGGAGTGATAAACGTGGGCAGCAGTAAATCACTGCCCAAGTATGTCCGTCCGCTTGTGGTATCGGCCGCATGGGCAACGCATACACGATCGAACTGCCTCGTAGGACCTCTCCGCTCGTACTATCAGTATGAGCCCTTTTGGGAGGCGAATAACACCTCCGCGATTAAGGGCTGATACTAACCTCGACTGTTCCCATTTCAACGAGCCAGTCTGGTCGACTAGCGAAGTGACCTGCTCACGCAGTTGAGCGATGTCCTGACGAGCTGCAATTATTTCGTCACGAAGAGAACGAATCGAACGTTCGTTCTCAAGTTGCGCGAACGAAAGCGTGGCACGAATGGTTGAGCGATCGTGCGCTAAGGGATTGTAGTTATCATTAACAATGTCACGTAAATCATAACGACGAGTCCGTTAATGAGCCAGATCATCGTGTAACTGATCGTTTACACGATTCAGTTCTTAAACATCAAGCTGATCCGACCCTTAAGCCGCATCACAGGTTCTTGCCACCACCACTTCCTTTGTTGGGTTCGCGCGGTGGTCAACGCTTTCTGGTGGAGCGTTCTTGAACCACCGCGACGTGAATGGTGTCCGGACGAGCTGCCTCGTCCGCTGGCGTGGCTATCCACCGGCTTGGGACAGCTGGGATCCTCGTGCCCAGCTGATCGCTGATGTTCTGGGTCTCGTCGAGCAGTATTACAAGACGCACCTTCTGCGTTCAAAGGAGGGCCGTAGGAAAACGACCTCCCCGAACGGGAGTACAGGGATTGCAAGGCGTCGATCCCTTCGGCCATCTCAGAAGAGATGCGCGCCCTCCAATCGGAAGCATTAGGGCCTCCCTAGGGGCACATTTCGAGTTGTCCAGGCAACCTGGACACGAATCACCCCACGAGAGACATGGCAATCCTGCCTCTCTTGAAGCCGGTGCAACTTGTATCGCACCCGAATGGGTTGTGCTTCTCAAATCTGATGCAAGCTGCACCAAGTTTACCGACCGGGCCTCAAGGTAAATGCAATCGATGTTATGGATGAGGGCATTCCATCCCTGCACCAAGGCTTTGCCGTCTCGACCACGGTTGCCATTGTACCACCGATGTTTGAAAAACACATCGGTGAAGAACTCTTCCTCAGCACGGATAGTTTTCGTGCTGAAATTAGGAGGACAGATCCTCCTAAAGTCGAACAAAGGGATTCGATCTCGTTCGGTGGTAAAACCGGCCACTCAAAACAACTCCTTAATTGATGGCATCCAAGCACACTCCAATTGAGGATCGTCGCGCAAGAAATTGCGGTCCGTAGTCTCTTATTTGGTGTCAGCATGAGCACTGACACCAGTAGCAGCTCGATCCCTCGAGTTAATTTACTCGTGGCGACGCAAAGGTGCTTCACCACCATCATCACGCTTCACAGTGTCCGATTTACTTGCGTGAGGCGAAGATTAATTAGACGAAGCGCTCGGTCCGAAAATCTCGGACACGAAGGCTCCACGTTTCCCAGAGTCAGGTCGACTGGTTCTTGCAGTTTCCACTCTAAGTGACCCGGAGGTAGGAGGCTCTGCCTTCGAGTCGGGTGCATCGTCTGACTCGCCCGAATAAATGAGCTCTGCATCGGGCCCATCCACATTGCGAGTCATAGCACCTATTGCAGACGCAGCGGATGCATTGTCACACACCACATGGACTAGTAGCAACAGCCACTGCCTGTTGCTCACTTGCAACAGCAGGTGAATGATTATTTTTTGTCGAGGCCTGAGAAGTACTCTCTTCCCCAGCGCACCGCATGGGTTTGGAGACCATGCAAAAAATGGCAAATGCGTTAGATTTACCCAACAAGTGCTCACTTTTCTCAAAGTGATCTAACGGTGATCATGCTGTCTCAAATCAATTTAATTAAATCACCGGGGTGATCGATGGTTAATGTGGGAGGGTGGTGGACTGGTATCCCGCTACTTAATATTGACACCAAACGGTGTCAATAGGTAGATTGTCTAGCGTGACAATTCCATACCAATATCGTCCATCTTGGATAATATTGTTATGGAAACGTCACGCGCTTATCAAAGATTAGTTGATAACGACGTATCAATTAAGGTTATCACCGATTGCTGCTAGACGCGCGTAATGGGTGGTGCGCAGGTTGTCGTCATACTACAATGTAGATTAATTTAGTTGGATTAAGACTCAAGTTATATTGATAGCTTAACTATATTAAATACAGTTCTCTTTTACCCATACTCAAACTAGCTGTTTAAGTAGATTATCTTCCTCTGCGCGTACAAGTGTACGTTAAGTTTCGTGGCACCCCAAACAAAGGGTGCCCCGTTACAATACCTAGACGACAAAGGTCGTGCTGGCGCACACAACGATGTGGGGGGGTGTTGTCCAAGCACGGATACATTCCGAACATATATGTTTGTGCCAAGAAGGAAGCACACCTCGACATCTCCTTTTAGGTTCCACGCGGTTTGCCGTGTCGGAGAGCACATTAAGAAAAATCGGTGCTGTGCATCCAAGGGAAGTTGTGTTGATTAATGGAAGTTGTGTTGATTAATGTGGAGGAGACTGTACGGGCTGTTGCAAGACGAGCGCATCTGGAGCCAGTTTCTTCATTCGCGACTAATTAATGCAGAATATGTGCGCTGCGTGTCGGACATGTGTCTGTATCACAAGCGTGAAGGAGAAAACTGGACTGCTGTCGGCGACTACGTAAAAGATTTTCTGGCGATGGAAACGAGCGTCGCGGCGGTCGAGAGCTTCTTCGCAAGCCCGGAGTATCTGTCAACCAAGGATTTATGCTAATTCCATAAGTTCCTAGGAATGAGAGTGGAGCTAGGAAGCAACGGCGCGTACCGCATTGACTCGGAAGAGGCCATCAAGGAAGCCCTACGTGCTCATGGAAAGGGCGATGCGAATCCGACAAAAACGCTAATTGAAAAGGATTGCTACGAGGTGGTAGGTAAGGAAGACGAAATGCTGGAAACAACGAGCGCAGATGGTGAAGAAACGATAAACGCGTTTCAGTCGCTCGTCGGGAGCCTTCTATGGGTCGCGAGGTGCTCGAGGCCGGACATTGCATGTGCAGCGCACGACGCGACTAGACAGACGCATGCACCGCGGGTGCAGATTAAAAACTCGCCAAGCTTATCGTACGGTATCTATAGGGCACTGAGTCGCTTAAGCTCAAGATGGCGCCGGCGCGACCCAGTCGCGACCCGTTGCAGATCGAAACCTACTTAGACGCTGACTTTGCAGCTAAGAAAGAGGATCGGAAGTCTCTTAAGGTAGTCGTCGTGCTCCTAAATGGGATAGTGGTGTTGTGGACCGCCAAGAAACAGGGCGGTGTGAGCCTTTCGACAACGGAGGCCGAGTTTGTCGCGGCGTCTGAAGTTGCACGCAAGCTCATTAGCTTGCACAAGATGCCCGGAGAGGTGGGCGTGGCAACGGCTGTCCCTATGCTGATGCATGTGGACAATCAGACAGCCATCAGCCAGATCGAAGGCGAGGCTTCTTTGATATATGCCAATTGCATCACGTGCGACACAAACATCAGTGCGACCTCACTCAACGCGGGATCGTCACGGCGCAGCATGTTCCATCCGAGCTGATGATCGCGGACTTGATGACGAAGATTCTCGACGCAACTAAGATATGGGCGCCGCGCAGACTCATGCGGATTCAGTAAGGGTGGGACGCGGATAAGGAGCTACAGGAGCGGAAGCCGGTGATGTGGGTGCGTCATTGTACGCGACAAGGACATGGGCGCGCGTAAGGAGATTAAGGTCGAAGGAACGAGAAAGACAGAGGAAGAGGAAAGAAGGTTGACGTAGGAAACGAGGAATGTAACGGAGCACTCTTTGTTCGGAGTGCCCTGTTACACCTGGTACACGAGTACGTACAGAGGAAGCTAATCAACTCAAGTAGCTAGTTTGAGTATGGGTAAAAAGAAAACTGTATTCAATATAGTTAAGCTATCAATATAACTTCAGTTTTTATCGAACTATAATAATCCACATTGTCATATGTCGACAACCTGCTCACCACTCATTGCGCGCGTCTAGCAGCGATTGGTGGTAATCTTCGGTTGACATATCTTTTATCAACCAATCTTTGAGCAGTGCATGAATATTATCTGCAAAGGGGATAGTATTCCTTCAATATAATCCATTTTGGATAATATTGGAAGGGAATTGTCATGCTAGACAATCTCCCTATTGACACCGTTTGGTGTCAATATCATGTAACGGGCTACCCCGTTAAAGAAGGGCAGCTGTAACGGGGTGAATCGTTACATAACAATTTATAAGAAATTGTTAATAGAATATAACTATAAGAGTTATATTCTCAGAATATTGTCATAAGGACAAATATTCTGTAGCACTTACAGAGTAGTTCCTAATTGGTTGATATAGGCCATTATATCAACCAACGAAGACGCGCCACGACAGACGCACGCAATGAGTGGTGAGCAGATAACTGATTTACACATTTGTATTTAGACATAGTTAGATGAAGATAAATAGTGATTTATTGCAGACATTAACTATTATAAATACAGTTCTACTTTTACTCTAACCAAGTACTCGCTTCTTCTTACCGTCTTCCTCTGCACGTACGAGTGTACGTGAAGTTACGAGGCACCGCCTTATTCTGTTATCAGAATAAGTAGCTTGTACTTTCACCAGTACAAGCTTCAGGGTGCCCCGTTACACCTGGTAGCACTTCGTAGTCCGTCCAAGGACCGCGTTCACATCCAACATGAATATGTTGGATGATGAAGATGACCAAAGCTTTCACGCTACGCGTGACGGCTTCTCCCATTTGAGCGATGTCGAATGGGATGCGGTTGAACGAATGGGTTCGACCATGGGCATCCATGCTGTTAGCGTCATGCTAGAGGCTCTCAATAGAGATGCCCAACATGCTACTATCGCCAAGTTCATTCAAAATGAACTTGACGCTGAACGCGAGAAAGTAGCCTTGCTTCACCAACAAGGTTCTCAACAAGCAGAGTTGTTGAGAGAACAAGGTGCTCAACAGTTTGAACTGTTGAGACAGCAGCAGGCTGCTGCTGGCGGGTCGATGCACTCGCGTCGGCCCGAGACTTTGAAGATTGACATCTCAAAGTATAGGGGGGTCGAAGAAGACTCCCTCTTGAGATGGTTCGTCGAATTGGATGACGCCATAAGGGCGCGTCGCATCGACGACGGGGATATGCAAGTTGCATTTGCCCAGTCAAATCTGGCAGGACGTGCCAAGACTTGGGCACTGGGGCTCAAGCTGCACGACCCATATGCGTTTGGGTCGTTGGAAGTCTTCAAGTCGCGGCTCAGACAAACGTTTGAACCGCCTAGAGCTGAGTTCAGAGCTCGAACCGAACTCTTGAAGCTCAAGCAGGGTAAGCGTGATGTGCACGCTTACGCTCAACATATACGACATCTCACGAGTTGTATAAGTTCCAATCCGGTGGATGAACACACGTTGGTTTCGGTGTTCATGCAGGGTCTTGCGGATGGTCCCGTCAAGACTCACCTGTTCCGGCTTTAACTAGATTCACTAGAACAAGCCATTTCCATTGCGGAACAGGAAGACTTCAGTCTGAGACAGGCTCGCGCCAGCTCGACATCATATCGTCAACCGAGACGATATGACAACGGAGGTCCAGAGCCGATGGAACTCTGTTATGTAGAGAGCGAGAAGGCTCGCTCTACAGACTACAAGAAGTTGCAGAAATGCAACAGGCGTCAAAAGACAGGACACTACGCTTACGAGTGTAGTGCCCCTCGTCCAGTGTCTCGCAACACTGGGCGTAGTGACCGTCCACCCATGAGAAAGGGGCAGGGACGCGGGTCCGCAGTTGGTGCAAAGACGCAACAACGTGATGGACCGTCAAAAAACGGACAGGATCAGTAGGTGCGGAGCACCCTACTGGTCCAGCAATGTCAAGAGTATTTGCAGGCCTCTTGATGAAGGTTGCTCCCATCACACAAACGTTGTGCGTTGCTGCTCTAGGTAGTGAGATCTCACTCATTACCTTGAAACTCAAAGTGACGAATAAGTTGTCCCTTCGAGCTCTAGTCGATTGTGGGGCTTCGAACAATTTTGTGCGACGCCAATCGCTAGAAGATGGTCACTTTAAATTCAGTGAATGTGACACACCTCCTACGAGGATGACGGTACGTCTTGCGACAGGCGCATCCGTAACCGTCATGAAGCGTATAGTGAAGATCCACTATACGCTAGAAGATACCCAATATGACGATGACTTTATCGTATTGGATTTGGATGACAAATTTGATGTCATCCTTGGAATACCGTGGCTCAGAAGGTACGAAGCACGGGTTAACTGGCAACATCGAACAGTAACGATACCTGCCGCTTGTTTATCAAATGGCCATCTGATGAACGTTTTGGAGCGTCCACAAGCGTGTGGATGTACTACGAGTGAGTGCGATGGCCTCACTTGTGGTACGGTCGTTAGTACGACTGCACAAAACCTTAGTGTAGCAAATGGTTACACTTCGGAGTAAAGTTCCGGCGGCTGTGAGGAAACACAGGCTGCGCCGAAGGTCCACCGCTCGAATAAGTCGAGTGGACCGGGACAAAGATGTATCCCTAGCGGGGAACATCTAGAAGAGAAACAATCGATCGCTCAGGTTAAGCGAAACGATAATTCTAGATCGACTGGAGAGTCTTTCGTAGAGGATCTCGCTGTGGTTGCGCAACCCCAGCTAGAGGAAGTAAAGGGAATAAGTCCCAAGATTACAAATACGGCGGAAATAAGTACCCCGAAACCCGCGGGAATAAGTCCCCGGGAAGACGAAGGAATAAGTCCTTCGAAGTCTGAGGGAATAAGTACCCAGGAAATGACAGAGACATTGAATGTCATAGTCAATAACGGATCAAGTGTAGGCGCTTATACACTTGATCTGATTGCGCCTCCGAAGTTAACTTCAGAGATCACTCAGTTGCCAACGCTCGAACATAAAAGGTTCTTGCGTGATCTGCGTAGTGGCAAAGTCAAGCAGATCTGCATACTCGTCGCTGACGACAAGTGTGTAACCGACATAAGGTCAGCAACAGTGTTTACTGAGAACGAGAGAGTTCTCATTAGTTCATCTATGGACGAGAGTGTCCTAGATGAAAAGACACGAATTGAGCGATATGACTCCCAATCGTGGGAATCGCTCAAGAAAAATCCTCTCTATGAAGATTTGGTTGAATTCAAGGATGTATTCCCTGAAACTGTTCCGTGCGAATTACCGAAGGATAAAGGTATTCGACACGAGGTCGAGCTTAAACCAGGCTCGAAGTACTGTGTCATGAAGCAGTGGCCACTGCCTCGTGAACAAGTACTTGCGATCGACAAGTTCTTTGCCGATCGTTTAGCAGCGGGCCATGTGAGGGAATTAACTTCCCCACATAGCTCTCCGACCTTCTGTGTGCGAAAAGCAACAGGAGGGTGGCGGATAGTGCACGCGTTTAACAAATTGAACGCTGCAACGGTACCGGCTCAGACGCCGATACCGAGGAAGGACGTAATCATTGATGGTATGTCAAAGAGTACCATCTTTTCGTCCATGGATTTGATGGATGGCTTCTATCAAATCCTTATGCGGGAACGGGATATACCCTATACCGCAGTTAGCACGCCTAGCGGCATGCTCTGGGAATGGCTAGTAATGCCACAAGGGCTCAGTAATGCCCCTGCCACGTTCAACAGATGTGTATCACATCTGTTGAGACCAGTACGATAATTAGCGCCGAGTTATTTCGATGACGTATTCATCCATAGTCGAGCTATGGATGGAAAGTCGGACGTTGAGGTTCACAGGTACCACGTCCGACAGGTTCTTACAATCATGCGAAAGCATCAACTGTATGCAAACCTCAAGAAGTGTATATTTGCCGCAAGCGAAATACCACTTCTTGGATGCATCGTTGGTAAGAACGGTGTACGTCCTGATCCCGAAAAGATCGAGGCGATCACCGACTGGCCTGTGCCGGTTGATGTCAAAGGTCTTCGAAAATTCCTTGGGCTAGCGGCGTATTTGCATAAGTATTCACGCAATTACGCCGAGATGACTGTGCACCTCTCTCGTTTGTTGAAAAAGAACGAGAGGTGGTTATAGAACGCTGAATGTCAGCGCTCCTTTGATGGTATCAATCCGAGCCTGATACAATCCCCAGTCCTAGCAATAGCCGATCAGGACAGGCCATTTCATGTGGTCTGTGATGCCAGCGATTTCGCAATCGGCTGTGCATTAATGCAGTACGATCTTGAAGGCGTTGAACGCGTCGTCTGCTATCAGTCGCGTCAGCTGCAACCAGCTGAGCGGAACTATCCAGTGCATGACAAGGAACTCCTTGCCATGAAGTATGCACTCGCGAAGTTCAGAGTCTATCTATTAGGAGATAGACCCTTCGTTGTTTACACTGACCATGCGTCATTACGCACGGCAGTGAACAGCCCGCACCTTTCACAACGAATGGCGCGGTGGTTGTCATTCTTTGCAGAATGCAACTTTACGGTCGAGTACAAACCAGGACGACTTAATGTCGTCGCTGATGCACTCTCACGTCGTCCCGACTTTGAAACAGTCGTGAAACCCAACAGTGAGACAGTCACTGTAGCGGTTATGACGTCCTCAGTCCCATCTACAACGTTGTATGATGATGTGAGGCGGGCGTATGCCCGAGATGGTGAGATAGTGAAGTTGTTGACACATCTCTCCCAACCATCTCGAGAATCGTTGAAACGATTGTCGTCTGCGTATCGATCTGCATCAGATCGATACACTACTCGTAACGGTTTACTGTATTATACAGCCGTTTCTGGTGACACACCACGTGTTGTCATTCCAGATGATACTGATATGCGTTTGCGGATCATGTTCGAGTATCACGATGCTCCTATAGGAGGACATCGTGGCCGAGAGAAAACATATCTCACGGTAAGTCGAGACTTTTACTGGCCCCGCCAGTATCAGTTTGTGCGAAAGTATGTTCGCGCATGCGAAGTCTGTCAACGAGTGAAGTCAAGTCCTTCACTGCGTGCACCTTTACAGCCTCTACCGGTTCCGGCTGAGTGCTGGGAATCCATCTCAATGGATTTCGTCTTCGGGTTACCCAAAGACGCACGCGGGAATACGGGTATTCTCGTATTTGTTGACAGATTCAGCAAAATGGTACACCTTGTTGCTGTACCAGAGACAATCACGGCAAGTGGCTGTGCTTGTGTCTTTATTGACACCATCTTCCGACTTCATGGGTTGCCCCGTGAACTCGTATCAGACAGAGATCCACGATTCACTGCTGATTTCTGGCGTTCCGTGTTCAAATCACTCGGAACGGCGCTTGAAGATGTCAACATCTGGTCATCCAGAGTCAGATGGTCAGACGGAACGTGCCAATCGTGTCCTTGAAGAGATACTTCGAGGATACGTACACTCCTTTAAGAGTTGGAGTGACTTTTTGCCAATGGTAGAGTTTGCCATCAACAACCCGGTGCATGCGTCTACGACACATACACCGTTTTACCTGAATGGCTTGCGCCATCCGCGTGTACCCACCTTACTAGAGTGTAACTCTGGTTTAAGGGGGGAGGGACTCGCGCGAGCAAAAACCGATTTGGTTCACGCTCATCACTCTCTGACGAAGAAGTCATTGCGTTTGATGCCGATATCGATAACATCGATATCGAAGAAGATGATGCCAGTGAGAGTGCGGAAGCCCTCACTGAAGAAGATGATCCCAGTGAGAGTGCGGAAGCCCTCACTGAAGAAAAGGTTGATGTTGCTGCAGTGCGCTCACAGCACACTGAAGCTAACGAGTCATCAGATGAGTTCATACTGGCTCGTGAAACGGTAGTCCGTTTTGTGCAAGACTCCATCGCCGAAGCGGTGGATAAGCAAAAGCAAAACGCAGACAAGAATGGAAGGGCAAACACTCTTTTATTTAATAAAGGTGACTTAGTCCTACTGTCTACGGTTAATCTACCAAAGCATGTAGTGACTAACTTGGGTAGCAGTAAACTACTACCCAAGTACATCGGCCCATTTCGTGTATTGCACCGCCTAGGCAATGCATACACGATCGAGTTACCACGTAAGATGCGAACGCATCCCACGTTTTACGTTGGTCGGCTTAAGCCGTACCATCAGTACGCTGCTTCTTCCGATGAAGAACGCCCTTGCGCTCAAGCATCTCGCAGAGAGCCTTGTGCTCCCGATGGTGGGCATCAACAAGGGTCTGAAGATCAGCTATCTCATCCCGAGACCGATCAGCAATCCCACGAGCTACCCTTAGCTCGTCACGAAGAGATGTCAGAGATCTCTCGTTCTCAAGCTGAGCAAAGGCAAACTCAGCTCGATGCTTCGAGGCAGTGTCCGCCATTTGGAGACGCCTATTCCGCTCATGCTCGAGTTCGTCGCGTAACCCTTGCGTTACGCGATCAAAGAAGCTCTCGGGAACACACCGATCCACATGATCGTGTGGAGAGCGTCTTTCCTCCTCCTCCACCTCCATTAGAGGACTCTCGCGGTGGCCAGCGCTATCTAGTTGAGCAGCTGTTGAACCACCGCGACGTGAACGGACGTCGGACGAGTTATCTCGTCCGGTGGCGCGGCTATCCCCCGTCCTGGGATTCTTGGGAGCCCCGCTCCCAACTGATGATCGACGTACTGGGTCTGGTTGAGCAGTACGACGCGGCACATCCTGTGCCGCAGAAGGACCGCCGGAGAAAGTCTTCCCGGCACGGTCGTAAAGGGATTTCAGGTTGTCAATCCCTTCTTACATCTCACTAGAGATACGTACGCGCCACCACGGGCTATTAGGGAGGTAAGCCTCCTTAGGTGCTCGTGGAGAGTTGTTCACACAACATGGGCACGAGTCTCCCCAGGAGAGGCAGGGTAATCCTTTCTCCCTAGACAGACGATGCAGCTTGTAGCGTGCACCTGGCGGGGTTCGCTTTTCAAACTTATCACGAGCTTTGATAAGTTTGTCGTTCCAAGCGTCACGACCTACATCCTCAATGTTATGGATGTAGGCGTTCCACGCTTGAAGTAGTGAGGGACCATCACGTTTGTGATTCCCACTGTACCATCGATGTCTAAAGAAAGCATCGATGAAGAATTCATGTTCAGCGCGATAGTTTTTCGCACTGGGGTCAAGGTGATGGATCCTTGACGAATCGAACAACCGTGTTCGATAACGATCACTCGTCGTCGCCGACAAGTGATCCATGACGGATTTTGGAGGCATCCATGCCTTCTTCTCGGGAGCGAGACGCAAGACATTGCGATCCCGCTCTTCCTGCGATGTGCCGACAGAAGTACTGGCACCTCGCTGTGAAGTGGTGTCCATAGGAGAACCGACACCACTATTAGCGCCCGAGTCTCGCGACCTCGAGCGCCTACGCTTCGGCGATGGTTCATCTGATTCATCAGATGAACCAAAGATGCTGCGACGCAAAGCATCGTCCATGCCACGCTTGGCAGGCGGCTTAGATTCAATCGCCGTCGATACGGATCCGTCATCCGTATCAGGAGAGTACGAGACACCGAGCTCGTACTCTGTGAAGACATGAGTGTCTTCATGACCAGCGCCTGCATCACCAAGTGACACAGGCTGGGTCGCTTCAGCAACCGATGAGACATCAGTTGCTGTTGTTTCTGCTTCGGCGTCCGCACAGAGACGTGCAGACGCGCTCTCGGCGGCCTTTGTTCGCGCATCGCATGGGCTTGTTTACCATGCGATGAGATGTTGGAAAGTGGACGCGGACCAACAAGTGCAAACCCCGTCCCAAATGATTTGGGACGAGTATCCATTTAGTCAATCAGTCACTAAAGTGACTGATGGTTAAGGGGGGGGTGATGTAACGGGGTGAATCGTTACATAACAATTTATAAGAAATTGTTAATAGAATATAACTATAAGAGTTATATTCTCAGAATATTGTCATAAGGACAAATATTCTGTAGCACTTACAAGTAGTTCCTAATTGGTTGATATAGGCCATTATATCAACCAACGAAGACGCGCCACGACAGACGCACGCAATGAGTGGTGAGCAGATAACTGATTTACACATTTGTATTTAGACATGGTTAGATGAAGATAAATAGTGATTTATTGCAGACATTAACTATTATAAATACAATTCTACTTTTTACTTTAACCAAGTACTCGCTTCTTCTTACCGTCTTCCTCTGCACGTACGAGTGTACGTGAAGTTACGAGGCACCGCCTTATTCTGTCATCAGAATAAGTAGCTTGTACTGTCACCAGTACAAGCTTCAGGGTGCCCCGTTACAGCAGCTGCTTGGCAAAATTAGTGGTGATAAACGCTTGGAGGGAGGGCGCGGTAGCAGAGGAGACAAAAAGCATGAATACAGAATCTTATCGTCTCCCTGCTGCAACAAACGTACTTCCCTACAAAGGCAACCTCGCTATGGGGGTCGATTTTTTACATCCTCACGACAACCAATAACGGTATTAAATAGGCAGTCAATCATAAATACATTCCAGGAGAAGTCCTAGATTCGTATACTTACCGTAATAACGATTTCGATCCTACATCAACCGCCAGGTGCGCTTTCTTTTGGCGAAGCACGAACTTCGATAAAAAGGTGCAAAATAAGGTTAGGAAGAAAATACAGCCCCTTATAAGTGTTCCTTGTAGATAGTGAGTATGAGTGATCGGATATAATTTAAGATTTGGCAAAACGGATGTGGATAGCAAGTTGTGCGAACGGTATGAATTCAAGGACAAGGGGTGTGAATAGATCAACTCTATACTTCTAACACGCAAAATTTCATCAGCACTTTCACATTTGACCCACAAAACACTGCCCATTCCCTAGCCGCGACCCCCCCAAATGCGTACGTGAATATGCGGGACTTGAATCAGCTTCATCAACAACAAAACTACTTGGATGAATGGCGAGCTCCAGAGCGTGCTCCTCTCCCATCTCACTCTTGTTTGCTTTCCACCCGAGAATCATCTGCTGCAAACCCTTTCGATAAATAACGCGGTGCTATTGACGACTCTAACTCTCTCTTTTTCTCTACGTGAGACTTTGGCTCGAACGCGTCTATCACGTCGGACGCTGAACCCAATGGAAGCGCGAGTGCAGAGCACCAGACCGCCACGTACGTTCACCCATTCGTCACCTTTGTCCTCCTGTCCTAAAGTAGCAGCTTGATTAGCAAAGCCTAGGCGCCTTCGTCCTCTTCGCCGTCCTCCGAGATAACGTTGAGTCCTGTGGAGCAAGAGCTGGACGGAGAGCAGGCGATCTCGGCTGCTACGCCCGTGAAGGAGCGCCGCATGTACGACAGTTCCTGCAACAGAATGGCATGTGATCATAGTATCGAGTTACGTTAGTGGTCGTGTGACGGTATTGCCGACGCAGACAGGATGGATATAACAGCACCGCACCTCGAGGATGAGCTGTGCCATGTCGTCGTCCGCATCAAAGGACACGAAGGAGCGCAGCTGGAGCTGGACACTGTCAGAGCTGGAGCAGAGGCCGCTCATTGTTGTTGGATGGAGCAATGACCTTCGACGGAGGACGTTCGGAGTCTGTAGCGGAGCTACACAGCTCCTTAAGTCAGAGGAAGACTTAACGCTCTACGAGCAACTTAGTTCCAAAGAACTAACGACTTTACGAGTCAGCAAGCTTTACAGCTTCAGATCCCTGTTCCAGGGGACCTAACGATTCAGTGAATCGACAGCACTTAGTGCTCAAGAGTAGCTACCTCAAGGAGGTGTTGCTAACTCTTAGTGATCAGAGATCAACGATCAAGACGGCTCGCAAGCCACGCGTCTTTCAGATCAAAATGGGAACTGATTTTATTTAATGTTAAAGCCTATAGAATATCTTAATCCTACTCAAAGATCTTTCGTATCTAATGGCTGACACTTGTCAGCCCCTACAAACCGATAAGATATTCTATATCACCTTCACAGAAGCGAACCCTCAGGTGTGTAACACCTCTGGTACAAAGTACCATGATTTCGTGCAACCCCGTTACACCCTCCCCCACCAGACTGACGTTTACCCAAAACGTCAATCGAACTCGTATTCTCAGCGAGAACAGTGCGCGTACGGTGAACCTCACGGTAACGTACGCTCTAGCACGATGTCCTCATCACCAAACGAGTCAAAGGCTCTGTGTGACTACCTCGGAATAGAGGAAGAGGTGGACTATGGTAGCGATACCAGTGTCCGCGGTGACACAGGGACAACGTCCGGCTCACTGATGCCTGAGGCACAACTTTCGAACACCCCAAATCCGTTCGCTGAACGTGGAGGTGCGAGCGCGCCGCCAGCGCAGCGTGCAGCATCTGGGTTTGATGAGACTATCATCGCGAACCCGCTCGATGAGCAACAACAACTGCTTGTTCAAAGAGAACAAAACGCTCAGCGTTATGCACAGATGACTGCAACCCTTGAACGCCAGCGTGATTATGTGTTCACCCCACCCAGTGTGGAGGAACGTCTGCGTCAAGCGGCCGGCCAAACATTGGCAACGTGGGTCATTGGCCATGGGCCTAAGACTCCTGAGGAGGTGGTGAGCTGCCAGGCACTTCGTGAGAGGTACCTGGAGCCGCACCTAACGACTCAAAGTCAATACAAGGCACGCCTTGACATGCAAGCACGTGGTGCACCAGTTCCACCGATGAAGGGTATACCCATTCTCCTGCTCGCAGGCGAAACAGCGAGTGAAGAAGACGATGCCTTTGTTCACTGGGTGCACTATGTGCGTCGCCTCAGCAACATTTTTGCTCTAAGGGCTAGTGCCCAAGCGGCGGATGTGCGTCTCGAACGCAAGCTTCGGTATGATTATGCCAAGCTTAAGGCCAGAGGCCAATTGCGCAAGCGCACGCGCTATGCTTCGGCTACTAAGGTAGCCGCGAGTGCTGGTCAGTCTGTGACCAACAACCCGCCAACCCGCACCACTAGTGGTGGTGAACGGCCTCGGCCTCGCGATGACCATGGCCACGATGCTCAAAAGCCTCCAAAGCATATGGGCAGTCTTGCCGAAGGGGTACCTCAAATTCCCATGAGTTTTCAGACTCAGGGTACCCACGCCACTTTACCAGATACTGATATTGGCCCTGACGACGACGTCGTTTCAGTAGTCTCTCGACATGGAATTGACGACACCCATGCTCATCGAGCAACGTCGGTGGCGGCCGGTGTACCGGTGGAGGGCCCACGAGAAATTGGTTCTCGAAGTGAAGGGTCTTCAAGCGGCCTTGGGTAAGTCCCAGTGCATGCTGGATGCGATGCAAAACCGCCTTCAGGCGATGGAGCAAGCTCAAACTCGGAGCGAGGCTCAGTTGGACTTGCTGATTCGTCTACAGCAATCCGGGGCGGTGCCCTTGTCGTCGGCGCAAGCGCCTCCAAGTTCACATGGGAAGGATCCCGGTACGGCTTAAGTAAGCCTACGTAGAACACTGGATGTGTGCGCAATTTGCGTGGGAGGTTTAGCGTATACGCAAGTCCCTTTGGCCGTGACCGTGAACGGTCCAATAAAGCGTGGACGCAACTTTGTCTTAAAGACAGCAGACACTACATTTGTAGGTAGATTTTTAGCATTGAGTAGTACTTGGTCTCCGACCTCATAACGTTCAATGCAATTTCTGCTTTTGGCATCAGCTTGTTGTTTTTGGGTATCTTGGCTATCAGCCATTGGGTCACGCACATGTCTTAGGACATTTAATCGCGTTGCGAGAAACTCGCTTACCTGTTTTTGAACAGTAGCAGGGCTGATATCAGCAAGCCGATCGGCAACCTCTCCCCCACCAAGCCCTGATTCACGTAGTGATAGCGTTAACGGAACGCGAGGGTGAGTGAGACCGTTTATATAGAACGGAGTAAAGCCTGTTGAGGCATGAACAGCGTTATTCAACGCAAACTCAACAACAGGGAGCATTGAGCTCCAACGCCTAGGCGTATCAGCGCAAATACTGCGCAAAATGTCGTTGATGACGCGGTTTACACGCTCAGTTTGACCGTCGGTCTGCGGATGATCCGCTGTGGACATGTCCAATCGAGTGCCAAGCACCTTGAAGATAGACTTCCAAAACTTCCCAGTGAAGCGGGGGTCTCTATCAGAGATAATTGCCACAGGCAAGCCATGTTGGCGAAACACACGGTCGATAAACAGCTTTGCTGTACCTTCCGCATCGATGCTATCCGGCACAGCCGCTAAAGTGAGCCATCTTGCTCAATCGGTCAACAAAGACCACAATACCAGTGTTGCCTTCCGAATCTTTCGGTAGGCCAAACACAAAATCCATGCTCATGGACTCCCAACAACCACTGGGTACTGGCAAACTAGCCAGCGGCGCCGCCGCATGTGCCGAGGGTTTTACCCGTTGACACGTTTCGCACGTACGCACATAGGTGCGCACCCACTTATAAAGTTTGGGCCACCAATAGCTTTGGCTCACCGAGCTATAAGTCTTCTCACGACCGAGATGACCACTTAAAGCAGTATCATGTGCCTCATAGAGGATCCGATACTTTAATTCCTCATTATGAGGTACTACGATACGAGGGTTGTCCTCAATATCCGTGCGATAGCACAATAGGCCATTATCGATGGAATATCGATGTAGCCTCGCACGTAAACGTGCCGACAATTCTATTCCGAGTCTTTAAACTCATTGCTCCCAAGAGCACGTAGCAAAGCTACACACTGATCGTCCTTGGCATATGCCGCACGAATTAAGTCAGGGACTGACGACGACAGGGTCGTAACATGAGCAAGCTCATAGTCAGGTCGACGCGATAGCGCATCAGCCAAAGCGTTTTTGCTTACCTGGCTTGTACTTCACCTCGAAGTTATATTCGGCAAAGAAAGATAGCCAACGAGCCATTCTCTGTGAGAGATGAGGCGACTGTGTCGCAGTGCGCAATGACGCATGATCGGTATAGATCACAAATGGCTTCGAGCCAAGCAGATGGACTCTGAATTTGACAAGAGCGTACTTCATAGCAAGTAGCTCTTTGTCATGAACAGGATAGTTCTTTTCAGCAGCTTTCAGCTGTCGAGATTCAAATGCGATGACGCGTTCGCGTCCGTCGACATCTGTTTGTAACAGAGCACTGCCTATGGCAAAGTCAGATGCGTCACAGACGACACTGAAAGGCCGGCCAGAATCGGGCAAAGCCAAAATTGGCGCATGGAGGAGACTCTCCTTAACTGCTTCAAAAGCATTATGTTCGGTGTTACCCCAACACCAACCCACATCCTTTTAAGGAGATTGGACAATGGCCGAGCCATATCTGCGTAATTTGCACTATACTTATGTAAGTAATTGGCAAGGCCAAGCCATTTACGCAAGTCCTTTTGGTTCTTGGGGACTGGCCAATCGACTATGGCTTTTACCTTAGCGGGATCCGCTCGAAGGCCTCGCTTCCCAATGAAGCACCCTAGAAAGGGAATCTCTTCTGCACCAAAGATGCACTTCGATGCGTTCGCATACAGCTTATTCGTTCGCATGCACTCGAGCACAGCTCGTAAATGATCAATGTGGTTATCCACATCTGATCGCCCATTCATTGCACGACTATGGACAAAAATGTCATCAAAGTACGTTTGTGCATAGCCTCGATGAGGTCTGAATAGTTGCGTTACCAACCGGTTAAACGTAGCCGGGGCGTTAGATAGCCCTTGCGGCATAACGAGCCACTCCCAAAGCATACCGCTCGGAGTACTCACCGCTGTTAGCGGAATATCGCTTGCTCGCATGAGCAGTTGGTAATAACCATCGACTAAGTCGAGTGCACTGTACAGTGTACATCCCGCCATATTGTTCTGAAGAACATCCTTTCGAGGAATAGGCGTCTGCGCCGGTATAGTAGCTGCATTAAGCTTATTGTAAGCATGCACAATACGCCACTTGCCATTTGGCTTTTTGACACAAAATGTCGGTGTTGAGTGGGGAGACTTGCTCTCACGAACCATCCCAGCCGCGTGCTTAGCACGAAAGAAATCGTCAATGACGTCGCACTGTTCTTTAGGCAAAGGCCACTGCCGTGTTACACAGTATTTAGTTCCAGGAACCAAGTCAATCTCATGACGTACACCTCTATCGGGAGGTAAGGCAGAAGGTGGGTTGTGACACACCACATCTTGAAATTCCTTGACTAAAGGATAGAACGGATCCGACGGATCTTTAAGGATCGAAGATCCACTTCGTGCACTAAGTGCCGCCTTTGTATCCTCTAGGACAGACTCATCCATTAACGAGGAAGAGTTCAACTCAGTATCAGGTCTAATGACCGCTAACTCGGATAACTCTCCTGCCTTCAAGGCCTGGCTAAACTCGCCATCAGACATTTCGTCTAGCTCACAAAGAGCGTCCACGGATGGAAGGGTTTCAAGGCAAACACTGCCATCAACCCGACCAGTCACTCCATTAACAAGTGTATACAGTGTATTGATAATCTCACTATGTGACTGTGAGGACGCCTGGCGCTTTACAGCTGCTACTCGGCGTCTCGATTGTCTCTTCGAGACCTTACTCCCCTTAGGGGTCGGGACAATATTGTCCCCATGGTTACTACCAACCATAGTATGCTCTATACGAGAGCTTTTGTCTTGACCGACATTAGGTGTGGTGCCCTCACGGCCGCCCACACCATATGGCGAATCGCCAACAACGCCATTACCGGCGTTAAGCGTGGTGCCCTCACGGCCGTCCACACTATACGGCGTATCGCCAACAATGTCATTACTGTCATTAGATGTGGTGCCCTCACGGCCGCCCACACTATACGGCGTATCGCCAACAATGTCATTACTGACATTAGGTGTGGTGCCCTCACGGCCGCCCACACTATACGGCGTATCGCCAACAATGTCATTACCGACATTCAGTGCGGTGCTCTCACGGCCGACCGCACTCGGTGTAGTTTCACGTGCCACCATACACACATCAAAGGAATCACGTCCTTGATCACTCGGCCCCTAGGCCAACCATGCTTTCAGCATGCAGTGACTCGTTATCACAACGAGTACCACTCAACGGAGTACGTGCCGTTTCACTAGTTTTAGACGAGCTAGGCTCGAAACTTATGTTTGTAACATGGGAGTTAGATAACTCGGACATTCCAATATCCAGCACATTGACATCTTCTGTCAAAGGCTCGCGCCAATAGCGCTTTTGCGGCCTAGCAAAGGTGGGTTCATGACTCTCCAAAGCTTCGCTAGGAACATTGCGCGTAGCGCCTAAGGTCTTAGACCTCCAATCAATCCATGGCTCATGGCGCTCAAGCCAAGCCATACCTAGGATGAGATCATATCTCGAGTCCAAATCTAGGACAAGACAGCGCTCAATACTGTCAAAGTCTAAAAACGTTATACCTAAGTTCAATGGAACTTTAGGCACCGTTACGCGACTTCCAGTCGCTAAACGAACCGTGATAGAATCACCCTCATGCGCTGTAAGCGCCTCAACATAACGCTGACTTCCCTCAAGGGAACGGCGTCGAGCATAATTGCAAGACGCTCCAGAATCGATCAATATCGACCAAGGCTTCTCGAAGCCCTTAATTTTCGCCTCGGCGACCAACAAGCCAGACTTGTATCCACGCACCATACCCGTAGGTATGGTACTCTTTGGGGCTAAGCCCTGCATTCCTTTACCTCCTAAAGGTGTAACAGAACATAGTTCTTCCCCAGTAGGGCGCCCCGCGCCTACTGGGTGTCGGCATTTCCCCGTGCCATGCCAGACTTCTGACTCGGGGGTCGAGTGTTGGCTCGTAGTCTGGCGTTGCTTACGCAAAGGGCAACCAGGCCGCAAGTGTTTAGTGCTTCCGCACATAAAGCATCGTCTTACAACGTGTTGCTGCTCAGCAGCTCGAAGCTCAGCTTCACCTCCATCTTCAGCATAGCTGAGATCCATCGGTTCCGGCCTATTATAGGCAGTGGTACCCGAATAGTTTGCTCTCACAGAGCGAGGATTGTATCCATTCCAACCAAGTCTGGCCGACTTGAAATTATGCTCAGCATTAAGAGCAATTCTCACAGCCTCTTCAAACGTAGAGGGGTGAACCCGAAAAACCTCGGTTCTGGCAATGCCAGTACGTAGACCTTCCATGAAGATAGTCACATGGACTGCTTCAGGCAGAGGGTCAGACTGCATTGCAGCCATGAGCGTTCGCAGCTCTTGGACATAGTCCGATAATTCATTCTTACCCTGGCGGGTAGAAAGAAAGCGTGAGCGCACGCGGTAAGCCTGGTTAGGTGGAGAAAACACCTGTACCAATTGTGATTTGAGCGACTCCCATGTGGGAAACGCTATGTCCACCGACGTGCTACACGTCAAGGCCCATTCTCTAGCTCTACCATCGAGCTTCGAGATAGCCAGCGAGACCTGTTGATGGTCAAGCGTGATCAGGCCTGATCTCATGGCCATCTCGATCTCACGGATCCAGAGGATGAGATTCTCACCCTCCTTGCCGGAGTAGTTTTTTACGTCCACTTTAAGTGGACGAGGCTTAGCCTCTTCGTCTGGTACAGACACGAAGCGTGTAGGCATAGCCGACGCTATTTGGTCTTGGACCTGCCCTAAAAGGGTCGCTTCATACTGCATGAAGCCGTCAACACGTGCATTAAGCACTTCAGGACCTTGTGAAACAAGAAACTCCACGTACTCTGGACCCAAAGATGCGGTCAGCTTGTCAAGCGCGACCTTTTGGGCCTCAGATAGGGGAGTGATGCTTTCCATCCTCACAGAGGATCAGTCTTAAAGACTCAGGCGTAGATTGACTACAAGTGCTACCAAGTGTAGCGGAGCTACACAGCTCCTTAAGTCAGAGGAAGACTTAACGCTCTACGAGCAACTTAGTTCCAAAGAACTAACGACTTTACGAGTCAGCAAGCTTTACAGCTTCAGATCCCTGTTCCAGGGGACTTAACGATTCAGTGAATCGACAGCACTTAGTGCTCAAGAGTAGCTACCTCAAGGAGGTGTTGCTAACTCTTAGTGATCAGAGATCAACGATCAAGACGGCTCGCAAGCCACGCGTCTTTCAGATCAAAATGGGAACTGATTTTATTTAATGTTAAAGCCTATAGAATATCTTAATCCTACTCAAAGATCTTTCGTATCTAATGGCTGACACTTGTCAGCCCCTACAAACCGATAAGATATTCTATATCACCTTCACAGAAGCGAACCCTCAGGTGTGTAACACCTCTGGTACAAAGTACCATGATTTCGTGCAACCCCGTTACAGAGTCGGTGGCAGATTACGAAATGGTCCAATAGAGAGACCAACGAGTGTCCGGTCGTCTAATGGGGCCATGGGGTCGACAGATGAGGCGAGACGCGACAAGGGCTCGGATTTTACCCAATCAAACCTTTTTTCGCAGTCGGTGTGAGCCACTCCGTGGACAGTCGTGTGAGGAGGGAAAGGAGACCCACTACGTCATTCCCTCGGGGTAAGGAACGACGGACGACGTCATTGAGACGGTGACGTCGTCCGCTTTCTTGAACTCGCGTCACTCGACACATGTCTCGTCTCCATTCCCAACACATGGCGCCGCGACAGCCATGCGGCAGAGCAGGTGTGTCTTTGGGCGGACCACTGACGACGCCTTGACTTGCTCTTGTCGAACCCATGTGTACACCGAAAGCGACAGCGGTAACAGCTGGTGGTATACGTGTTGAGGGATTCACTAGTGTGTCTGCATCTCGGCTCGTAGCCTTCTAGTTTCAGTCATTGCCTTCGGAAGAAGATGACACTTTCGAAGCGACGGTAGAGGAAGATGCGGTATGTAGCACCTTTGTTCGTGTGCCCCAATGACTGTATCACTGCGACACAGCTTTGGTCCAAATCGTACCTCGTGCTGCTGATGAATTACAGTGACTGAACAGGTTGAAGGCATAGGTTTGCAGTACATGAGTTCGTGCATCGAAGCGGACGCAGCCAATAGCAGCTGCAGCCGCAGGTAAACTTTGAAAGTCATGTGCTACCTACCGACCATTGTCTCGCCAAGGTCGTACAAGTTCACATAGTTCGGCCGTATGGCCTGGCTCTCTTTCGATCACTTCGTGTGTCTGATGATGACCATCGAGATCAACTGAACGAACGTGGGAAACAGCCAGCTCGCCTTTTACTGACAGCAGCCCATTAACATATGACGTACGTAACATTCTGTGAAACTACTGTGCATTTTTGTCCTCGAAGACGGTCTGGGTGATCAAATTTGCAGGAAACGAGGATGATGAAGTTCAGCGGAAGAGAAAGATGGTAACATCCGGTGACTTGCGCTTGTCACACGTTCCTCTATCATCATGGGATGCTTGTGACCCGTTCAGAGACCTGCACGATGTAAGTACGTAAGATATACGCAGTTTACGAACGTTTCGCAAGCACAATTAATCTTGTAAGAGCGGCGTGTTTTAACTTAGCTTAGGGAGTCCATAACTGCCTACAATGTACAGCACAGGTATTGCTGACGTAGTGCAGCAGAGAAGATATGATATCGTATGTATGCAGTTGACACCGTCATAGAGCGGGCTGAAGTGCGTGAGTACAACATGCACAATCAGTAGCCGCGTGAACAGCATCAGAGATTATAAGCGCCAAACATGATTTACCATACGCGAGGATGACATTATCTTCCTTAGCGCAATAGTCGCTGAAAAGACCCCATGCCACACGACGTGGGATACCCTATGCTTCAGTGCTAAAGCTGACGTTTTTGTCAAGAGTTTACGTATATTTTCTTTGAAGATCAGAGATGCCTTCTCCGAAAGGTTTCGTAAATTGTGGCCGGCGACTAGCGTGTCATTCGACGCCAAGCACGTGCTTACATGACACTGGCAACTTCGCTCATTTCCTGGACCTCGATATGGTCCTCAATCGCAGCACCACTCGTCTCCTTGGTCATAATAGGATAAGACGCGTCGGTGGCGATCCCGCACTGATTGTTCTTGTTGCGACTCATCATAATGTAGCCCTTCATGCCCCACGTGTCGCCCCACGAATTCTTAACGAGCCAAAAGTGTTTCTTGTTGAAAACACCGTAGCCAGCTGCTGCCACACCGTGGTCCAGTGCATCTGGTGCGTTGCCACACAGCGGCCAGCTGTAGACACCGTGGCGGTACAGTTGAAACGTAAAGCTGCTGGCGTCAATAGCCACTGCTTGGACGCCCTTAGTAGCAATGGCAGCCTGCAGTGCCTCTTCATCCCCCGATGTCACGTTGGCAAATGCTGTAAAGTGGCCCACGGCTTTGTCGTCCTTGGCGTTACACACGCCTGTGGACTCGGCCGTGTACTCGTAGTCCGTCTCCCGGTCAATTTTACCCCCGTGGTGATCGATGATCTCTTGGTACCCTTCACTCATCTCGCCACCGTGATTGCAGGTATCAATTCCTCCAAGCGTACAGTCCACGAGCTCTTGCTCAGAAAAGGACTCAAGGGTGCCTGTACTTAGTGCATAGGCTGATTCCATGGCGGCGACAGCTGAGAAGGCCCAGCACGAGCCACACTGGCCCTGATTCTTCACAGGTGTCACGATATTGTGCGTCCGCCAATCCCACGTCTCCGGCACATCGGAAAAGTCGTGGGGCTTGGCGAACGTCTCGACAGCTTGAGCTTTGCGCTTCGAGTGGTGCCGGTACTGATACTGGAGCCGCTGTTTGTACTCGGAATCCGAGAGATCCGCGAGCTCGTTCAGACCGAGAGTGAAACTCACTTCTTCACGTTCGTACGCTTCATTGTGCAGCTGAATGCGCTTCCAGTTCGTCGCAAACGCTCGAAAACGGAGCTGGACCAAGTCGTCTTCGCTCTCGGTCAAGAGGTAGTCCTTCTTGTACTCCAGTGCGTAGTCGTTGAACGCCTCCCACGTTTGCTGCTCGTTGGAGTTCAGAGACAAAGGCAGGTCCGTGGTCATGGCAGTGGCAGCAGCGAGTGCGGAAGCAGCGGCCAGGAGCGACGGGAACGTCTTCATAGGGTCCGGGCGTCGCATGAGGAGCTCTTTTTCGTTGTGGTGGAAAGATCGGCTTTTTTCTTTCTTTCCTTTCTGCTTTTTTCTCCGTTTCTGCTTTCTTTCTTAAAGTGGAGGAGTACGTTTGTGAAGATGAAATGGTGTACCGCACACAACGTGATTATTTAATGTCAGAGAATTAGGATCCATGCTGTCTACGTTCGACAACTAGTGATTTGCGCCTAGTTTGTGATCGGATACACAATCAGGCTTTTTAGAGGAGAAAGAAAGCTATAGACTGCATCGAACGCATATGTGAGTTTGGGAGCTTCCTAATTGTTCACGTTCGGAACTTTGGAATAAGCATAGGCTTGATACGTATATGCGTAAGACACAGCGACGTAGTCGTAGAGTCGAATCCAGACAGGGTGGATACTTTGTACACCATATCGAAGATTCGCAATCATATAACGAAGTGGCACGCTATGGATTCGACACAAAGGAACGTTCGGAAGGCGTCACAGAGCATTCGTCAACTTAAGGACTTGCAGGAGCGCTTTCAATTGACATGTGGTATCCTGTAGAGTAGCGATGGATGCTGCTGTGTCGGATCAATCTCACTTTTCGTTTCTCTAGCTTCGTCGCGCCCACCAAGTTCGGTCAACGATGATTGAGTGCAAGTAAGATGCTTGCATGATCAAAATGGATCAGCAATAAGTGTAACCACAGCCGTTCGTATCGATGTGCAAGACGAACTCGCACCTTCAGCGTTTCTTCATCTCTACGGCTAGTGTTCTTGGACCGAATGTGATGCATAGTTTTTGTTTTGGCCTGTGCGTTACTTTGATCGATATGTTTTTTATCATGCGTCTTCGAATATTGTGAATGCACAAAGATGACGATAATCAATCTACTCAATTTGGTGTCGAACAAGAAAGCAAGCACAGGAACAGGATTTGGTCTAGTTGCTTTCTGTTGAGGATGGGCCATTGTTAGGATCTGAAATCGCTTTAAAATTCTACCAGAAGTCGCGATCAGCATGAATACAGATCTTTTGTGCTACGCCAGATGTGTGACTGGGATCGCTGATTTACAATGTATCCATATTCCTCTGAGTCAATGTTCCCCTTTTAAAAATCCGGATCAAAACGAAGGCGTCTCGTCTTCAACCTGCCAAGCAGTTCTTCACAACCAGTACTTAGTAGATTGTACCAGCGGCGATCGCTGATTCGTTCAAAAGCTGCTGCAGCACTACGAATTCGACCATTTCTGACCAATCCCACCAGTATCGACCATCTATTGCGATCTAAACCACACAAAATAGACCTCTCCTCAGATTCACAGTCAGTAGCTCCCTATCGAACTAAACCCTGAAATGCGGCCGCCGCTCAAGCTCTTAAATCGTATGGCTGGCGCGTCCCGCCCCCTCTCGTCAGCCAAACCCTTTAACGCAGAAGCCTACGAGCACCAGTATCTAGCCAATACATACAACCCCGATGGTGTACGTGGCGAGAAGGGGCTCGTGTTTACACATGGCAAAGGCAGCAAATTGTACGACGAACAAGGCCGCGAGTTCTTGGACTTTTACGCCGGCATTGCCGTGTCGGGGCTCGGTCATGGGGACGCAGACTGGTACCAGAGTCTCGTGGAGAATGGCAAGAAAGTGACGCACGTGAGCAATTTGTTCCACTCGAAGGCGCCGCTGGAACTTGCCAAGACGCTTGTGGACAATTCGTGCTTTGACAAAGTATTCTTTGCCAACTCCGGCACTGAAGCCAATGAAGGGGCCTATAAGTTTGCGAGACTTTACGCGAATCAGGTTGCTCAGGGGACGTAAGTGGCTGGAATAGGAGATTAGGGCTGGGTGTTTGGTTGGTGTGGACCACATCAACGTGACTGGAGAAGAGCTGAAGTCACCGTGTTGAATGATGCATTGTGCTGTTTGTGTTATGCTTATGTAGACCTGTCGAGAACAAGAAGTTCGAGTTCATCTCGTTCAAACACGGGTTCCACGGTCGAACAGCTGCTGCACTAACGCTGACGCACAAGCCGAAGATTCGCCAAGCTTTCATGCCACTCGTGCCCGGTGTGCACTATGCCGAGTACAATGACATTGAGAGTGTCAAGAAACTCATTTCGGACAGAACGGCGGGTGTGATCATTGAGCCCGTGCAGGGAGAAGGAGGCGTGTACCCTGCCGACTATGAGTTTATGCGTGAGCTTCGTGCTTTGTGTGACAAGCACGACGCGATGCTGATCACGGACGAGGTCCAGTGTGGTCTTGGCCGCACGGGCAAGCTCTTTGCCCATGAGCTCTATGATGTGAAGCCTGATATTATGACGCTGGCAAAACCGCTCGCTGGAGGTCTACCGATTGGTGCCGTGCTCATGTCGGACAAAGTAGCGTCGGCGATCAGCCCTGGCCAGCACGGCACGACCTTTGGTGGGAACCCGTTGGTGTGCGCTGTGGCGAGCACGGTGCTCAAAAAGATTATGGACAAAGACTTCCTCGCCAAGGTGCAGAAGCGTGGTACCTACTTGGCGAACGGTCTGGAAAAGCTACAGCAGAAATTCCCCGACAAAGTAGCAGATGTGCGCAAGCCGATTGGGAAGGGTGGGCTATTCGTTGCCCTTGAATGCAAAAAGCCCGTCAATGCACTCATCGAGTACGCACTGTCGAAGCAAGTGCTCATCATTTCGGCTGGTGAAAAGTAAGTCTACTGTTTATCGTTGTACTACTTGGGGTGTTGCACGATGTCTAACATTTCTCGTGCCTTACATTTGTTCGATAGCACGATTCGCCTGTGTCCACCGCTTGTTGTGGACGAGAGCGACATCGACAAGCTTCTTGACGTGTTCGAGAAGGCGTTTGAGGAGAATGTTCTGTAAAGTGCTGCTATGACGCAATGGCACAGTGAAGATTGCCAGTCCAACTTCAACACTGATAGGCTGTCATCAGTCGCTTGGAGTGGGTATACTATTTTTTCTATTGCACTACATATTGTTATTCTGCCACCGTCAGGAGCTATATGGCGCTAACAGCTGACTGTTGCTACTGTCCCCACAGCTCAACGAGAGTTTGTTGAGCTCGCTTGGGGTAACTAAAAAGACTTTGTGTTCCTCGGGGTCGAACCTCCTGTGATTGCTGACAATCTCGCAGCTCTAGTTGCGACTGTCTCTGGGCAGAAGACGTTTCGTCGATGAAGTGTAGCTGACGTTCGGTACTCTGTGGCGTTACTTGAGGTAGCGATTGTTGCGATGACGCTCGTAGACGCTTCGTAGACAAAGAACGCTTGAGCCCTCGCACGGGGTACGCAAAACCGTCAGGTTGCTGAACAAAGGCGTTCCAGTTGGCCCATCTCGCTTTTCCGCTTGCCCCGGACAACTCGTCTGCGTACATCAAGTTGAGCTCAAACGATGCAGCATCCTCGCTTTGTCCTTGCTGACGGTAACTAACACCTTGCTCCGATTCGCAGCCGATCTGCCAGCAGCGTATAGTGCCGTCATCCGAACAAGACGCAAGCTGCGAAATGTCGAAAGGACTCCAGGTGACCCCATTGACTTCGTCTGCGTGGCCCTTTAACGCAAAACATGGCGCACGCACCCGAATACCGCGATCGGCCCAAGTAGACACTCCGACTCCATCATTTGGCGAATGGACCTGTGCATCCCAGACGTAGACGACGCCGTCTGCGGATGCACCAGCAATGAAATCCCCATCAGGACTAAACGTAACTTTACTGTAAAACGAAGTGGATTGATGTCCAGAGCACCGAAGGATCGTTCGGGCATCGAAACGGCCACCGCTAGGCGGCTTTTGGCCGATATCAATCAGAGCAATCGAATCGTGCAGCACATTTACGAGCAGCTTCGACGCGTCGCCTCTCGGGCCGAGCACCAGCGATGAGATACCACGACGAGAGTCATTGCGAGATGCGCAGGACACCTCACGAACTGGCAATGACGATCCTGATGATGCCTTTCTCCCACCATATGCAAAAGAACCCGATCCAAGGCGTCGAATGTCCCAGAACTTGACCACTGCATCCACTGCACCTGCTGTAATGATCTCGTTGCCTGTCGCATCAAACTCGACACACGTGACGCTACGTGGCGATGTTTTTGTCAATGCTGCAGCTGCTACTCGCCGCTTCTTTTGCTGCCGAGACGCTAGAAAAATTTTCCCATTCAGTGACGGCGTCTGCGACCTAGTCGGCTCTGCATGAACGTTCTCCAGTGACAAGACATGTTCCTCACTTGCACGAGTATCCCAAAGCAAGACCCTTCCATCGCGTCCGCCTGAGACAAAGACATGAGTACCATACGGCGCTTCCCGAACACACTTGACACTCATGTCGTGTCCTCGCAGCGTCAACACAGGCTGTGCTTGCCTCAATGCACTACTCTTGTCCATCCTTTCAACATCCCAGATCCGTATCTGCAGGTCACCAGCTGCCGTGACCACGCGGGCGTCATCTCGTGTCCAAAGACCATCAAAAATGGCGTTTTGGTGAGCTCTCCAGCAGCTTTTTGTTCGTCCAGCAGCTGCATTGAAAACCCCCACAGCTCCTGCTTCGTCCACAGCTAGCAGGAGGTTCTGATGATGAGCGTACGAGACTTGAAACACTGGATCAAAGCGGGTCGAGCTTGTTGATAGTAGGAATTGGTCAAATGCTGGTCTTTCCATCGAGTCGGTGAGCGACAGGACACACTGCGCCGGACAGTAGAACGACGAGAATAACGCACGGGAGACAGCGCTGCGCTGTAGCAGGATAGAAGACGCATGGACGGTGCCGTTCGGCGCGTCATCCAGCCGTCGCGATGGCCGATAACGCGACCCTGTGGCCCCCAACTGCAGCTTCGCGAGCAGCTGGACGAGGTCGGTCATTTGTGCCAATCGTTTGGGTCGCTCTATTTTGTGTCATTATGTGACATTTTTACAACGGACCAAAAAGAGCCGATGAGAAACGCATTAAGTCGCTTGAAGTTGCGTCGATCGCTGCTTTGGATTGAGCCAATCGCAGTCGTCGATTGAGCGCGAGCGGATCTTTCTGCCCTTCGTGTCTCGTACACCGTTCGATTTTCTACTCTCTGACCAGTATCTGGACAGCATCGACGCAACCACATTGTGTTGCACTCTGGTCGCTGTTTGGCTAGGAGAGACAAAGGCGGGTTAATAGAGTGCACGTGCAAAGCAGTGGTCACTATTAGACGAAAGCAGCTGCTGGGCGCGGTAGCAAGTGGAAACAGTTGCAGTCACATCGCTTGCAGCCACACTTGCTTTGTTAGAAGAGACAGTACCGCGGACGTAATTTACTGACACGCGCGGTCACAATGGCCGAAATGTCCAGCTTTCGCCACGCTGGACTGACCTGACCTGACCTGACCTGACCGACCCCGTTGTATATCTACTGAAACGTTGCCAAATTCACTCGAAAGACGCTCTTTCATTGGCGCAGACCATTCCATCCGCCTCTACGATTGGCCGAAACGAATCTCAGAACGTGGAAGTTTTATTTTCTCGAAGATTTCTTGGCCCTGAAGGGATGCATGCATAACGCAGAATGCTCCGTGACAAGCACGAGTCTGACGCGAGCAGCACCAGCAGTAGTAGTAGCAGCAGCAACAGCAGTGACTCGTCGCGTTCTTCCAGCTCAACGGACGGTCCGAGCGTGTCCCTGTCACTCGTTGAAAGGCCTCAGCAACTCTCAGCGTTTAAGTGCATTCCTCGTGTGGGTCCAAAAATGGACTTTTGCGACAGTTTTAATCGGGACACGAACAATCAGGACAAGATGGCTACACGCCAAGCGTCGCTCGTTGCGTGTCAAGAAGAGCCAGAGCACGAGCAAACCCTCAAGTGGCAACCGCCCCTCTCGAGTTGCTCGATGGAAGAAGGCCCATTGATTACGAAGCACGCGGACAAGGCCGCCGTGCCGACATTTAAACGGCGAAACGTGGGGGTGCCCAAGTTTTTGAGATTTTTGTTTCAAATTCTAGAAGAAGAAGATCCCGTCATAATCACGTGGTCACATGAAGGAACAGCGTTTCAGATCAACCAGCCGGACGACTTGGCGACTCAGATCTTACCCAAGTACTTTAAACATAACAAGGTGTCGAGCTTCCAGCGCCAGTTGAATTACTTTGGGTTCAAAAAGTGGACCAAGACGCAGACCAATATTTGTACCTTCAGTCATCCCTTCTTCTACCGTGCCGACAAGGACAAGATGAAGCTCATTAAACGGAAAGAACGAGCACATGCAGCAGCTGCTTCGGGCTTTTCAGCTCCGTTGACGACCACGATCGATCTGGAATCCATTGATGATTCAAAGACAAGCCACGACCACGAACTCGCTCCAGGACCGATTCAGGTTCCTTTTGAAGCTTACGATCTAGCTGGCTGCCCACAGAGTCAGCTACCAACGCAGCAAGCACTAAAGAGACAAAAGTCCACGACTCTTTCTGGTGCAACGGTGACGTTCCTGAAGTCAGGAGCTGCTGGACGTCGTCACTCGACAGGAATGCTCCCTGGCTCAGAAGCTTTGGGCTTGGCTGCAGCAGCAGCGGCTGCTGCTGCTTCGGGGGCAGCACCTTCAGCTATAGCAGACAATTTTGTACTAGGACGTAAGCGCGTTGGAACACCCGCAGAACAGGAGTTTGAGCTGGAGATGGAGGCTCGATCGCACGTAGTGACGAACTCACCGCCAGGGCCACAGATGTCCGTGCACATGAGAAAAATTGTGGAGCACCAAGAGCTGTCGCAGCATTATTCGTATCCTCCTGCTCAGGGGAAATGGCAGAGTCTTCCTCACGTTTTGGCTCCAGGCTTTGGGAATGCTTTTGGCATCGGCATGAATAACAGTGTAAATGGAATGGGAGGTGGCAATTTTGGGGCTCGCAGCGCCAATATACTCAGTCGACGCAGGAGTGACCAGGGTCGAGCCGACCATGACAATTTTGACACTGCTTTGGGCAACGGATGTAGCCGGTTGGAGAACTTGATGTCGTCCTCGTCGAAATCAGCATTTCAGCAGACGGCAGTCCTTCCCATTTCGTCTGAATTGGCTCACAATGCGGATCTGCAGCAGCAGTGGCAAATACGACTACAAGGTGGTCAGCAACAACAATCGGGCAGAGTGACTGGATACGGCGTCAAGTCTCGCTCTAGCAGCGAATGGTCAGCTTCCATGAAGTCTGAAGACAACAACGGATGGCTAACATCGATTAATACGAATGCAGGCTCGGTCGGAAGCTCACTGTATGCGACTCACTCACAGAGTCGTACGATGCCAATGTCTTTCTTGCCAAGAGGCTCAAGTGCACCATCTATAGTCGATCCGTCTTTTCACGGTAGCGCGTCAATGGATCATCTGCACACAGCGTCTGCAGATGACAGGAAGCTTCAGCTACGTGCTCTCATGTCTCATCCCCACGACAATCACTTTCATCAACATCAAGCGACTGCTTACCAACCGCAAGAAAAGCAGCACGAGAAAAAAGAACCACAGTTGATGATTCAGCACCCCCGTGACTATATTGACGTGCTGCTGGAAAACGCTGGGCTGGACGATGGTCTCACTTCACAAAGCTCAACGATGCTTTCGTCCGAGTTGTGGAACGCGCACTCAGAAAGTGAGTCTCGATGCTCAGGGTCAACGGGGTCTTTCGCATTTATGCAGCCACAACAAAACGGTATGCAGCAGCTCCAATTGTCTCCGATGGGAGAGATGTCAAACCAGCCCAACCAGCGTTTCTAAGTGTTACTGGCGAGTCACACTAAAGGTCGTCGTGCGAGTCAATTTTTGTCTCCTATATCGAGGCACGAGTCGGAATTGGGTGCAAATGACCCCCTCGCGAGATCCTGGAGCAAAGCCCGGCTACCAAGTATGAGTATTTTTGTTGTCTGCATGTACAAGACTGCCGGAGAGTTGCAGCATCTTCATCGATAAGAAGAACCCTGGCTAAACGAGAATCTTTCGTCCTATGGCCGAGATCCTGGCGCGTACTCTCCAGCCTATTCCCGCTTCTGCGCCGATGCAGGAAGCGTAAATGCTGTCTTTAGCTGTACGTTTAGTTTGGTGACGTTGCAAGATGGCGATGAAATGGACGGTAAGTATCCAAACCCCACGACAAGTAATCTACAGGACTTCACCAAGAAATAGTCGCAATGAAGGAAAAGCTGCAAGCATGAACATGCTGACCAGCTCACTAACGTTTCCGTCAATAATAAAATACTGGGAGGTGGCATTTCGCAATAGATTGCGACCAAATGTGTCGATACTGCACATGTACAAATTTGGGTGGATTGCTGCTACGTACACAGCTGGACTTGTGGAGATTTACAGAAACATCGTTGGCCTTTTGCACATGCGGCACACGACGAGATTTGAGGAGCATTCGACACCTACAAGACATCAATGAATGACTATTTGGCAATTTACCGATTGAGAGAGGAGCCTTAAAACTTTGCAAAAGCTGCCTGACCTGTAGTATGCTGTCCAGTCATTAACGACGTAGTCCGTCAGATTTGGCTTTCATCAGTCCACTCGGAGTCTACTCGTTTAGCTCCCTCCAGGTTTCTTGATGAAGAGGCGCGTAAAACTTCGCTACCGTGTCTGAGTAGTCTACTGGCATTTTATGGATTAGTTTGACGACGTCTTGAATATATGCATTGATGTATGTGTATCAATATTGACACAGGCGTACCAACCTCCATTTGCGTTCCGACGTACTGATGACGCAGATCAAGCGTCCCTTGCTCGCGCGTGGAGGTATCAATGTGACACGTTGATGGAATATACGGCAGTGCGAGTGGGGACTCGGACTCGGCTATCCAGAATACAGGTAATTTGGGTAAAACTGTCCAAAGATAATGATGAAACTGACCGACTCTACATTGGAAGCTACAGAGGTAGACCATGCACGAAGTGTCGGGTCAAGAAGGACCCGTACCGACTCGACGACAACCCGGTGGCATTGTCAACACACAATGTCACAAAATCTAGCAACAAACTACTTGTTGTCGTTTAGGTTAAAGGTCAGGGGAAAGACACCACTGTATCCGAGTCGGCAGAAAACCGGTATTTACTCTTCCTTCGTGTACTGAACCCCCTGAAACGTGCCTTCCTCACGCTGCTCGTTCCAGCGCTCCACCTACCAGATACATTCCGACAACATTCCACATCAGTACTTAACCAGCTTAAGTACTACTCCTACCAACGGATGGTACAACGTACCCACGAACTCGGGCAGACCGAGGCGGCGTACTGCAAGTACTTGTGGCAAGCATCCTCATCGCCATCGTTTCCCTTGAGACACAGCACGTACTCATTGTAGCGTGTCCAGCAGTGCTGCGCCTGGTTCGTGTTGGGGAACCGCGGGTCCAGTGGGGTGGTCTTTAGCTTGGCTTCACTGGCAGGCATGGGTTCGACTTGGGTACGACACGAGATTTTCTAGTATACAAGAGTGGCCACTCAGTAGGTTCGTATCGGGCGCCCTGTTTCGGGAGCGAGACCACAATATCTACCAATGAATTGACGCCAAATGAGTTTAAAGACGGAATATTCAGCGAATCCGATGCTACTTCGATTGGCTTTTACCTTAGAGGGCGTACTTAGTAGCCGAGTCCTTCTGCGTCCATTCATACGTCTTTAGCATTCAGACACCGGGCAGCACTGTCGCAACGTCCTACTGTATCTTTTTCAAAAAAGCAGGCCCACAAAAAAAACGCTTTTTAATGGCGCTCTTCGATCAAACACTATTTTGTGGCCGGATCGGAAAAACCTTAGGACCGCATCTAAATTTCGTTCGTCGACCTGATTCGCTCGACTGCGCGACCGCAGGTCAGCAGGTCTTTCCTAAAACAGAAAACGAACACAATGGCCTTTCCACGCGCACACACGCGAGCAGCGACAGCCCCCCGAATAACACTACCAATGCTCGTCGGTTCAAACCGCCCCCTCTAAGGAATAAAAAACCAACCGGCTCGTTCACGCGCGCCGTAAGAACAATTTCCGGACGTTTCTAAATGAGCGCCGTCGACGACGTCGAAGCTCGCATCCGTCGCCTCGACGAGCTGCGCGTGGAAAAGTCCACGCAATTGCGTCAGCTGCAGCAGGAGCTCCGCTACAACAGCGTCGCAGGCGTCGACGAGCGTCTTGAGTCGGGTCAGAGCGTCGCCCAGCTCGACGTGAGCATCGAAGGGGGTCGAAATTTGCTCTTTAAAGCGGGGTTTCTATCCAGTCCGCAAACCTACGTCCGCGTGACGCTCGTGCTGGTACTCGCACAGTTCGAGAGCGACGAGCAACATACACTTATGGAGCAAAAGAGCACCTCCAAGCGCCCCGTCGCTCCCTCGCCGCGATGGGGCGAAACGCTCTCGTTTCAAACGCTTCCAGCTGCAGTGGGGACGCTCCGCGTGGACGTGATGCAGGAAGAGCGCATTGGCGCCGATGAAGTCGTGGGCGCGTTCCTCTTGCCGCTCTCGAGGCTGCAGGACCAGCGGCCGATGGACAAGTGGCACGTGCTGCAGCCGACGAGGGACGGGGCCGCGACGACCAGCGAAGTGTTTGTCAGCTGCCGATTGCAGCGCTCACCGGTAGACGAAACCAACCGTTTGTTTGATTGCGTTTGTGGTTTAATTGATTGCGTTTGTGGTTTGGTTGGTTACGTTTGTGGTTTGATTGGTTGAACCAGGCACTGATTTTTGTGTGTGTGTGTTTTTTTCGTTGTTGGGTTTTGTCCTACGCTCTATTTTGTATGCTGTCTTGTCTTTTTGTTTTGCTGCGTTTGATTGGTTTGTTTGCTATAGCTCTCGGCGCTCACGGTAGAGCTGGAGTTGCTGCAAAACCAGGCAAACGAGTTGCAGGTGTTCCTTGGCCGACATCAGAATCTAGTGACTGGGTTGCCGCAAGAAGGACCGGCTCCTGCCATGTCGAGTGCCAATGTGCTGCAAGGAAAAGTGGTGGTTCCTGAAGAGACACCGGAACGTTCCGTGTCGACGAGGTTTTCTGCAGTTGCGTCGTTTCCTCCTGCAATGAGGAAACGCGAGTTTGGGGAGAATACAGACGTGACGGGGAGGCTACTGGAGACCTTGCGAGCGAAACGACAACGTGTGAACTCGGAGCAACACGTGGGCTCGTTATCCGATCGGATTGCTAACTGGCTGTTGCCCACATCAACTCCAACGTCTTCCATGAAAGCGGACGCACGACCTTGTTCCGGTGTCTTTGCTGGCGAGAATGCTGGGCTGACGTCGAGTCAGTTTTTCCCGTTCAAGCATCGTCAGTCTGCTTCCGAGCCACGTCGAGGACGAAGAACTGGACGATCGCTTTCTGCTGCTGAACCGAAAGCACCGTCAACGTTGCAAGCGATCGAAAAGTGGCTGTTTACGGATAAAAGCGGCAACTCTTGAGACCTGTCGGTTGGGCACTGGACGCCGTCTACTTAACTCAGCCTTGTACTTCTATAACGACCTCATGGTGTAATCGAGTGCCGCTTTAATTCCATTTGGGATGCGATTGACGTTGCGGCTACGACCTAAAAGTTTCCTGCAACACGAAGCACAGTGAGTCCTACCAGCTGGGGCCTTTGCCATCTCTATGGATGCAGCCCATTGTCGTCTTGCTTGTCGATGCTCTATCTCATTAGTTTGTTCGCAAACGTGCCTACAAATTTTCTGCAAACTTGCAAGCGCTGCTATATCATCCTCACCATGTGTGTCGACATAACGTTGGACAGAGCAATCAATTCGTGTGATTCACGCTAAACATCGGCGCCAAGTGCACAGCCTTGTTTATAATAAACCTACCTGGACAAACTCGGATGACTCGCACCAACTGATGAAAACCAATACTTCTGCTAGCCTTTCTAGCATTATCGATGATAACTCTGCTGTTGTTATTCTTGTAGGTATCAACAGTCTATTGATGCTGTCGAGACTTACAGCTATAGATTGCACGGCCGAATGTACATGGCAGTCGCATAGAGTAAATAAGGTTTTGTCAAGTGACATGGCTCCACACAGGTGACAATACTTGGATGGTGACACGCAATGCTTGCCTGCTCGATTGTGCTCCCATTACCGAGTGTCAGAGTCCGACGTACCTGATGTAGGCTCTCATAGATATGCGCAAAATGTCTTCACGTGATAAATACGATCCATTCCGGTCTGTAGCGTCAGTTGCTAGTCAGCAAGCGTGTGTATTACATACATGCTCAGTATTTCGCGGGATCGCTGAAGACGTACGACCGGTGAACTTTACCTACAGAATCGGGCACAACTATTTGAAGAGCCACTCAACTTGTTTTGCACTTTGCACTCCCTCGCCCTCCAAACTTAGGAAGGCGTGCGCTTGTCATAGATGCAATGAGATACTTAATGATAGCTGTAAAGAGTTCTGCTGCCACTGCTAGGTATATGGTGCTGAACCAATGCGAACCGCAACGATATAGCGTCGCCGAGACTGTATTGAAAACGTTGTGGCGAAACTGGATATCCGGGTGATACACGAGAGTGTACATATATCATAGACATACAACACATGTCGAATGCGTCAAGCTTGTATGGCAGATGCTTCATTACCTTCTTAGGCGACCCTACACGTGACGTATCCATGTTCAAGTTACTATGGATTGGACCGCATAGCCTTGTCTCCTCGCAGGCACTATGAGCCTTTGCACAAAATCTGCGTGTGTCAATACGAAATCATACAGATTACAATTTCGAGTTAGTGTATGATCATATGGCAGGAGACTACCATACAAGCAAGGTCTACATAGCATAATTGCAACTCACCACCAGAGACCGCATGAGGTTGTAACGTCAGGTACGAATGCATCGCATCAACGTAAAGTGGTGGTTTGCAAAGGCACGAAAGTCATGACTCCAACCAGTGTAGAACACTGCTATAAAATAGAAAAACGGCACCATGTTTAGCCTCGTGTGTTTTCCCGAATAAAAACTTGACCAATTACCTCGATCGACCTGGCCGATATTGTCTACTCACGAGCACATGCGATGTCCAGCCCGCTTTGGTGATCATTCTTCTACAGCTACCCCATTGTCGTCGGCGCTCACTCACCCCTGCTTGATTTTCAAGTCAGCTTCCACAGGATTTGCCTCCGCTTTGTAGCCAGAAAGCCGAAGCACCTCAGCGCCCGCAGCAGCAAATCGAAGCAGATCGTTTTCTATGTTTTCGAAAGGGAACGCGCTTATCGGTTTCAGCGTAAAGAGCTTCTCATAATGCACGTCTTTACCAAAGCACCGCTTGAACTGCGGAAAAACTTTGCCACCATTTGCACCGCGAATGTAGTAATTCGCAACCGGCAATACACGCTTGTACTGCTGGATATGGGTCCACAAAATTCGGTTGTTCGCATACGTGAGCTTTTCCGTGTTCCGATGCAAGAACAGGATTTCCCCCATTGGATCGTGTTGGACCATCGTCACCCCACAAAACAGATCATAGTCAGTATGTTTCGTACCCGCCGAGCCGGGTGGTCGCGACGACATGAAGAACGAGCTCTTCGTCTTGAGCCACGCAAAACGAAACAGATCCTTGTCGCCCCACACGAGCCGCATGTGTTCAAAAGCCCGAGGCGTCGAGAAGCCGTAGTACATGAGCACGTTCAGTGCCTTGAGGTGCGTCCGTCGATTGATCATCACCTGGCCGCTCTCTTGCTCAAACATGTCGACGTACTCGAGGCCAAAGAAATCCCAGACAAAACTCGTTGCATGAATGTTGAAAATCGTGTTGCCCGGTCGCCAATAATCTGGCCAGAAGATCGCGCCCGTGTTGATAAACTCGGGCGTCTCGAATAAATAGCTGGGGTCGCGCACGACAAAGTTGTCTGCGTCCAGCAACAACACCTGGTCGAAAGCACTATAGTAAAGAGCATACAACTTGGTATAAAAGGTCGTCGCCCGCGGGTCGTCAATCACGCGCAAGTACACGCCGAGATCTTCCACCATGCGCCGAACCAGAGGGTGATTCCCGTCCATTTCGGACGTTTTGTACCACATCTCAATCGGCAGCGTGCACCCTAAAGCCCGCAACGAGCAGACACTCACGTACGCCCCTAGGAGCAACTTCTCGTACACGACGATTACAATGCCTCGATCGTAGGATAGTTCCAAATGTCCGACATCTTGATTTTTCACCCCGTCGTCTCCAATAGGAATCGGCGTATGCGACAGTTGATTAGTCGTTCGAAAAACCTCCTGATTACGCGCGTACGAAAAGTTCGGATCGTGGTCATAGTCCGTTGAGAGGATACTGTAAGTCAGTAAGCTCTGGAACATGTCGCACGTGAACTTGACCCCCGGTCGCAACGACGAGCAGTGCATCTTCAGCACTTGCGTGACTTCCCCCGTGCGCTGGTGGCGTACTTCACAGTACCCCGACACGCCATAAGGCACGACCGCGGAGCAGTTTTTGTCATTGTTCCACTCGCGGTCCCCGTGGGGCGTACAATTGGTCGTCTGGCGCCATCCGAGGCACTCGTAGTCCCCCAGATCCTGGAGCGCTTGTCTCGTCTGCCGAGTCTTGACTTTCGACTCGTCAACAGCTGTAAACATGTGCGACAGCTGCTTCAGTTTCTCGACCACTTGCGTCTCTTTCCATGCAGAAAAAAGCCCTTGTTTCGACCGGTCGCCACCTTGCACTTCATTGTTCGAAATCGAACCCGTTTGGACCAGTCGCCCCAGTGTGACGAGACACACCATGCAGACGACAAAGGCGACAATAAATAACGCCCACAACACATTCCACGGACGACTTACCGGTAATAACACGGGCCGTTTCTTGGACGACGCAGACGAGGACGACAACGGCAGATCTTCCGTGTGTAGCACGCGAGTGCTGCGCTTCCCGGGCGCTTTCTTTCGAGGCGCGTGGCGTCCACTGGCGCCGCCCACGTAGACCGGAAGCAACGCCCCTTTGCGTCCGGTACTGTGCTCCGTCATTGCAATAATATTGCAAGTATTGCAGCGCGGGACAGAGCGGGATTGCTGCGCTGCTCGGTAGTTGGGTTGTGCGTCAGCAATGGCGCGCGCGAAAGCGTGAGAAGAGCCAGAGCACTCGCTGTAGTCGAAGCCGTAGCGGCCACGAATTTCGAGCCAAGCGGGAGTTCACAGACCCTTGGGGCGCGAGATGGAGCTGGGGTCGGTCGAAAGTTGGACCGAGGGAAGGGGGTGGTGCGCGGGCGTTATATTCTGTCTGTTGTTGCGCGTGGACTGAGAAAAAGAGCGTGACGCCAGGCAAAGTTGCAGCACGTGGCGGAGTCGCCTCGTCTCTTGTCGAGCGAAACCAACCGCAACATTTGTTGAGCAGAAGAAAGCAACATTGTGACGTGCCATAATTAGATTAGGATCAGGGAGGGGTGAAAGGCGGTTGAATGGTGGAGGAGCAGGCCTTGAGCACGAGCCGGTACGAATCGTTTGCCTGTTGTTTCGGTGATTTTGTGGTCTAATTTACCGTTGTCGAAGCTGTCATTAGCTAACAAAAACGTGGGGAAATATGGCGGCAGTGCGACGTGGTTGGTATAGGAATGGATGCGCAGACGCTACTGTTCGATATCGCACGCGGAGGCAACTAACTGCCTGTCGCAAACATTCCGGGCTTCTCTCTTCGGCTGGAGTCTCTGTCCAACACAAATACATCTGTGACTGAATACGAGACACAGGCCCATGAGGACACATGCGTTTTTTTTACGAGTTACTTGAGAAAGCTAAAGAGGTACTAGTGATCAGGGACAAGTCCAAAGACAACTAAACGCCTGGATGAGGAATGTGTTGTACGCGAGGCTGAGTTGACGTAAATACATATTCTAGTCCACAGACGTGGTAGCATTGCAGACGCTAGACCATTATCTATACATACTGCATCGCGTGGATCTTGGCAGTACACGGTAAGCGATACTAAAATAAACTCGCAGGTAGATGCATGTGCTCCGAGCATTTGCTGGTACCTTCCCACACATTGCATATCGTTTGACCTGTAGCTATACAAGCAGTCGAGACGCACCCACACACCTGCTTCGACGGTAACTGATATTTCTGGTGTCAGTGGACAGCGATATGAATCGGGAAACAAACCAGGTAAGTGAAGTGCCTGAACACGTATAAGGTGTGAAGACATAGCGATCGCGTCATCAAGAAGAGTTGGAAGGCGTGATTCAGGTTTCACGTGCCTTGCTACAGATTTGTTGGCACACTCTTCTAAGTCATGAAGGACCAGCGCGAATGCACCTTGACAGTCCATTTGGGAAGAGATGACATACCGAACCTTTCGTCTACTCCCACAAAGCAAGTACAATCCCTTTACTTGTTGTCGTATCCGCTTGCGAATATGTCGCATACGTGCTCAGCTTTTTTCCTATCGCATGGACAAATTCACAGCAAAAATGGTCAGCACCTCTCTGTTCCGTCAGTGCAGCATGGTTCAGGGCACACCAGGTTTGGCTGAATAACGTCAAGGCCATGCCTGTGTCCTACACGACGCAACGACTCCATTCACCATCCTAGACGCAATGTCTCTTGGGTCCTTACTTTGATCATCATGAGTCGTAATTGACAGGCAGCTGGACAGATACAGAACGAACGACACTTAAGCAGTAGCTTTCATATAGTAGCCTACCCTTCTACCCCTCACTTATCGATCTTCTCTCTTAGCTACGCAGCAAAACAATGAGTGCGCTTTTAAATCCTGAAACACGAGCTGCAAGCTATGGCTTCGCTTAAATGGGTACAACCTGCCATCAACTGCTCCCGCTCGTTGTTATTTTTTCAGATTTGTACATTCGCTATTACAATCCCATCCGATCTTGCAACCAAAAACAGCTTGGTCTTTGTATCGATCTCCTCACGCAAACGAAGCATCAACACCAAAACATCAAATGACTTTTCACACTCGCACGCATTAAGCAATTGAGCCAGACCTCCGACCATGGCGCTTTTAGACGATTCAGACGAGTTCTCGGCTGCTCTTTGCTTTATCGACGACCTTCTCATTGAATCTGCAGATGATGAGGTGATGCGCGCGGTCGCCCCAGTCGATCATCAAATGCCGTCTGGCGCTCCTAGGGCGTCTCTAACTCCGATGACTGGACGAGGAGCTACGTTGGTATTTCAAGCTCGAAAGAAGCGAAAAAGAGAGGAAAAAAACAGTCAACAACCAAGAACTAGGAAGACGCAAAGCTCGTCACGGAATAGAGCGCGGGACCAGGAGCAGCGGGAGCTTTTATTGTTGAGGGAACAGGTGGTCGATTTGCAGCAGAAGCTTGAAGCGCTGCTGGAAATACGTGGTCCTGCAGTTGTAGCTCCTGGAGATGTTTTGGCGTCAATAAGTGCTAGAGAAAAGACAGAGAAAGAGGACAAAGTTGCTGTTGTGTGGAAGGAGATGGCCGGTCATCAACTAAAGCAGAGACTGAAGTCTGAGAGAGAGAATCGACAGCTGAAGGTGGCGATAGAAGGACAGATCAAGGTGGTCAAGAGTCTGGAGAAGACGTTACAAACAAAAGCTACCACTAATGTAATAGGGAGGCGAGATGGTAGTGACGTTCTTGCAGCAAGGTCGCTCACACAGCTTTGTATTTTTGTTGTAATTTTTTGAAAACACAGGCGATCGAGAGCTGTTTAGGTGCTGATCCGATATTGAAGCGGATGCACATATCGACACCCGATCGATCGGATGCTGGTGTCTTCGTCGACCTCATGGCGGGCGTTGACGAAGCTTACAAAGAGGTTGATGCTGTACTTCGCGACAATGGACTGGACACTAAAGAGTCGTCATTTAGTGATGCCGAGATGCATCGAGGAGCCGATGGATTTTACATTCAGATATTTGCAAGTAAAGTCTTGCCATTTGACGTAGTTTCGACAGGGACAGCTGCATGGCGGTATTTCTCACGGTCGATGGAGCATGTGTCCCCGCGGTTTTTGGATCACATGGACCATCAGGTACGGTGACCAGGACCACTTGATCTCTTAGGCACTTGACCCTTGTCTTCTGCGGTAGGCTGACATCCTCGTTTGTTCGTTGATGTGGATGCTATGATGTAGGACACGAAGGCAAAAGATGATACGATTGTCGAGAGCTTTGGCATGGAACTGCAGGCAAAAGGCACTCAGGCGAATTATAACGTCAAACAGATAGTACGGCGATACGTCGAGGATGATCGCGTCGTTGTTGTCTGGCGATCATACATCGATCCAGTGAGTTTTGCAGGCAAGTCGGTCTGTGGAGCTGAGTTTCAGGAAAAGGGCTATCTCATAGTCCGACAACCGCGTACCTCATCTTCTCAATTTGCGCTGCTGCAAACATGCTACTTCATTTCACCAGCACTTCCCATGCGGTCTTTGCCAAACGAGTGCTCGATTACGGGTGAACTCACCGACTTTGTGTTGAGTGGCACGGAGGCCAATATTGCTTCGTGTCACCAGACGATAGAAAACATCCTATTTAATGAGACTGTGAAGACTCGCAAGTGAGAGTCAGGATACAGAAGTCATCAACTTAGTGCAGTCGAATTTCTATAAATGTTGTTCGTGTTTCGTGCGTTTTGTGTGTCAAATGTGCACCGTGGCATGCAATGGAGACTGCACGAGTAGGACATTTGTATCAGCGTGACCTAACTACAGCAAGGGTGTCAACGAGTCACCATACGGTGGTAGCAGTGATGCAAATTCAGTTACAATTTCTTAACACAACCGTGCCACGGCTTCATCCGACTCCATCATAGCGTCTTGTTGCTGTAACTAGTCCGGCAAAAGACTCACATGGGCTCACATCTTCTCACACGTTATTCCTAGCAAAGTGAGGAGAACGAGACGCACTGGCGAGCGTTGTCTGACTTGGTCGTATTCGTCGCTTTAAACTGAACCGATACTACGAAGCGGGTCGTAAACTAGATCAATCTGGGGCTCATAGCGCTGGTTCTGGAGACTCTCATTGGAAATGATGTGCAGCAGCAGATTTAGCAACCCACTTTGACACGACCTGCCCGCGATTATACCAAGCTGAACATGTACAGTCTTCCAGCATACAACACCCATTGTCATGTGCATCGAAGGCCTTACTGGTTCCAAAGCGGGGGAGTAGCACGGATGTCATCTGCGTTAAATTGCGATAAAATCTTGGCTTTGTTTCGCATGAAAGCAGCACACACGTCCGCTTCGAAGCACACAATGGCGATCGTCGCTGTCCAGTTTGTGGACCGCATATAGTGCTGAATAGCGCATAAAGCAAACCACGCTGATTTGTCGATTGGCATGCCCATATTGCCGGTGGAAATGGAGGCCATGGCCACACAGCTCAGGTTTTCAGTCTGAATGCATCGTAGCACACTCCAATACGTTCGTTGTAAATCTCTGAAACATTGTGGATTGAATCCACTCGGACCCACAACGTGAATAAGCTTGGCCACACTAGCATCAAACCCCGGCGTCACATGCACTTGTCCAACGTCAAGTCGGACATCCAGTGTACGAACGTGGTCACTCAGCCCTTTTCCTGCTCGTCGAAACACTGCAGCTGCTGCACCTGAATGAGGGTTTCTCAAAAACGCCGCAGTCGGGAACGCTAGACCGTCCAGTACTTGCCCTTCGACCACTGTAACCTCTCCAATATCTCCCCTTACAATCCGCACACGTTCGTCAAACTGCACAACTTGCTCCGCCGAGCGTAAAAACTCTTTCAAATCCGCACAAGCAACCGCCAAAACCGTCGGACTCGGCACGTTCTCCACCCACGTGTTCACCACCATCTGATCCGTCTTCTTTCCAGCAGCTCCTGTATCTTTTTCCGAGCCCTGACCCGATGATGCACCACTTCCAGGTGCATCACCACAAGATCCAGAGCCAAGTCCCTCATTTTCTTCCAGATCCACCTCAACATGTTCTCCCCCTAAAGAGTCATCATCGTCTCCCGTCTCCACGTCGCCCTCCATCAGCACCGCAAGGTCATCCCTGTCTCCATCGTCACCACCACGTCCTTCTTCTCCTCCCTCTCCCTCTTCCTCTCCTTCATCCTCATCCTCGTGGTCGTCGTCCCCACAGATCTCCCCAACCGGCACGTTCCCTGCAAATCGCAGCCGCAGCAGCTCCTTCCAAAGCGCGTCAAACGTCAAGACGTCGCGCCACGTCTCATCCACTGCCAGCACCTCCAGGAAATTGGCTACTGAAGCCACGTCCAGCATCGCCACGAGTCGAGGCAGCAGCGGAGCCACGTCCAAGACGCGGCGGATAGGGCACCGAGGAGCAGGACCTTCTGCCGGCATTGCTGTTGTCCTAGTTGCTGCAGTTGTTTGGTGACGTGGGCGCTTGAGTGGAGGAGCGCCATATGGCGGAGCACTCGCACGGGTCTTCTCCAGCTTCGTATCTGCACGGGGTGTAGCCATTCGAGTGGAAGCAGTTGTTGAAGTGGCTGGACGAAGAAGCGAGCGATCGAGATGCGGCGACTGTGAGGGAAGGGGCTCTCCTGAAGTAAATAATTGCGCTCGAGACGGACGTGTTTTGTACTTTTGGTCTTCGTGGTGTCAACGGGCAGCGGCCCAACGAGCTCGTTGCGGATCAAATGTTGTTACGAATGGGAGAGAAAGGGAGCGGACCATTTCAATGTCGTATTTTGCTTGGATCCTGCGAGACATGATACAACGGTGTAGTCAACACTGCGTGCGCGAGTCTATTTGTTGTCCCCTTTCGATCTGATTCGCTTGAGAGGCGTGAGAGCGAAGTGCGACATTTAACTGGAGACGCCTTGCTAAAATAGAACATTTCGATAATTGCGAGCTTAATTTGAGTGAGGCTGGGAGTGACTGTGCGCAAGGTGAATGTCGAGCTTTAAAGGGACAATAAAAAATGCTTACAAAATAATGAAATAAAAAATTGCTCAAGATAATTGGAAAACAAAAAAATGCCCCAGATAATTGGAAAATAAAAAAAGAGTATTCCATAAGGTGACACGGTTTAAGAGTTTGACCAGAACGTGACACGGTTCGTTTAAGCACTTTGGTCATGAAAAAACTCTGGTACACTGTACCGGTCTTCGGAAGGACAGAGTAAATTAGGATTTCGTTCAAGATCAGCAAATAGCAGGTGTTTTCTAGATTTTTTTCGACAGCAGCCAATACGTTTGCTCCGTATCACGCAAGCAATTTTTATTAGTAAACACACAACTGAGAGGCGCAACAAATGCGGCACTATGTGACGTATATAGATTGTCGACATCAAACGTGTTTGATCTACGCAGTGTATTCTTAGTCGCGTTCACATGAAAGACAATGAACGCACCGCTGAAAAACCACTGCACGGTCGCACAGTTGACCGTTACCAAGACGAAGACGCAATTGTCCAGCTGCGAAAAGAGGATGTTTGGCTGCGTTCCCGCCGTCACCCCAACGATCAACGTGGCTACGTAGATAAAGTACATCATTAGCAAGCCTTCTTTGGGTCCATCGATCACTGGAAGCGCCTGTGTACCGGTGTAGCACTAGTCCCTCATCGCCATGGAAAACATCATGGCCCATGCAAGAAAAAGCTGTAGTGACTAGCTCAACCACCACCAGCAACAACAACAAGCACACCGAAAGTAGACAACATCATTATAAAGAGCACTCCCACACCTTACATTAAGACACTCAATATCTAATACGTCGCTTTGAGCCTTATCTTGAACGCCAGCGTATACGCACTAATATTCACATCCGGTGCATTACGACCGTGGCCAACAGCAACGATTTGCCAGTTTTCCGAGCTTATTTGTCGTCTGCAGCGTCTAAATCTGGTACAAAAGCAGTGATAAACCCGTGGCGGCGTACACGCATCGCGGTGCCTATTCTTCCATATTTGTGCATATCTGTATTCCCACCATAAAAATTGTCATACACACATGTAGTCAGCTTTACATCCATACAAGACGTGATGATATCTATAATGTAACTTCACCAGAGCATTATCAAGTGCGACAAAACCACGAGCCACAGCACTTCAGTTGTAATGACGTTAGGTGCCAGTCGTGGTGACAGCACGTGGTTCACGAGCCGCTGAGACAATGGGGAGATTACGTAGTTGTACAAGAGCAATGTATCGCTACCGTTTTAGCGATCCGCTGAATGTGTGCAACGCCGTCTTATGTCACGTGACGGTACGACGGCGTCTTGGCTTCATCTTGACTGCTGGTCAAGAAGACCAGTAAATGTAAACTATTGAAAGTGTATAATTCAGACGAACTCCAATTTCAATTTCGTGCGCTACGTGCATTTCACACTGCACCGATTCTCGCACACATTTTTTTAAACAACTACATCACGTTCTGGTCAAACTTTCAAACCTTGCCAGCTTATTAAATAAAACTTCCTGGAAAATTAAAAATAGAACGTCCGGATAACGAGTAGATAAAAAAGAACTGACTAGTTAGATACCCCATACTTGCTACATAGACACCCCCTCGAAATATTGGTTAATTATCTTACGAAGCCGGTGTCTCCCTGAAACTTAATACGTGACTTTTTACTTGTGATGAACATTGCAGTATTCCGTTTAATCTACAGAGACAGCGCCGGAGCGTCCAGTGTACGATATTGTATTCGTCCCTCTTGCACTTATTGAATTCATTCTATTACATTTGTACAATGTAGTGGTGTCGTTCGGTTCATCGCAGGTTTGACAGCTGCACCGGCGGCCTATCCTATGCCAGATATCGGTACGATAAATTGATGAGAAGCTTTACACTGATACAGATATTGTAATTGGATAGCCCGTAACATTTCATTGACACCAAATTGTGTCAATAGGTAGATAGTCTAACGTGACAATTTCCTATCAACATTACCAAGATGGGTAACTTTGAAGAAATATTATCCCTTTGTAGGATAATATTCATGGGCTGCTCTAAGATTGGTGGGTATAAGACACATCAATTAAGGTTACCACCAATCGCTGCTAGACGCGCGTAATGAGTGGTGAGGAGGTTGTCATCACACGACGGCGTAGTTTAATATAGTTCGATAAAGATTGAAGTTATATCGATAGCTTAACTATATTAAATACAGTTCTCTTTTACCCTTTCTTAATCTAGCAGTTTAAGTAGGTTACCTTCCTCTAAACGTACGAGTGTACGTAGAGTTTCGTGGTATCCCAAAAAAAAGGGTGCTCCGTTACACGCAAGGCCCGGACACACTTCGTAGTCTGTCCAACGACTACTTAGAGTTCGTTCAACATGAACATGTTGGACGTAGAAGATGACAGTTTTCACGTCACACGTGAAGGCTACTCCCACCTGAGTAACTTAGAATAGGAAGTAGTCGGCCGCATGAGTGTGCTCATGGGCGAACCCGCCATCAGTGACATATTGGAGTCTCTAAGCAGAGACCAGCAACATGCTGCTATCAACAAGTTCCTACAAGGGGAACTTGCCGTCAAAAGACAGAAGATAGCCTTGCTACAACAGCAAGGCTCTCATCAGTCGATGGGCGCGCCGAAGCACATGCGTCTACCCAAAACCTTGAGGATTGATACCTCAAGGTACAAGGGAACCGATGAAGATTCCCTTTTGAGATGGTTCGTCGAGTTAGACGACGCCATCAGGGCTCGTCAAATCGAGGGTGACGAGATGCAAGTCACCTTCGCCCTGTCAAATCTGACAGGACGAGCAAAGACTTGATCCTTAGGGCTCAAGGTTCACGACCCAAACGTTTTTGAGTCGTTAGAGATCTTGAAGTCTCGGTTCAAATAAGCGTTTGAGCCGCCAAGAGCCTAGTTCAGAGCACGCTCTGCACTCCTGAGGCTCAAACAAGGTAAGCGTGATGTGCATTCTTACGCACAACACCTACGCTACCTTGAGAAAAGCGTCACGCAATACCCTGTTCATGAGCACTCACTCATCAGCGTGTTCATCTACGGCCTTGTAGATAGACCGGTCAAGACCTGCATGTTCCGAGAGGACTTCCGTACGCTGGAAAGGGCGATAGCGTAAGCGGTGAAACAATCCTTCATCCTGAGACATTCTCAGGCTAACTCGTCAAAATATCTTCCGACGAGACGACAGGAAACTGGAGGTCCCGAACTAATGGACCCATGTTACATCAAGAGCGAGAACTCTCGCTCTATGAGTCACAAGCGAACGGCAAGATGTCATCGCTGTCAGAAGATTGGACACTACACTCATGAGCGTAGTGTCCCAAGCACCGCATCCCGTCCAAAGACAGGACGTGATGACCGCCGTTGGCCGAGTAAAGGTCCTACGAGCTGGTCCGACCATATCGATAAGCCGCGAAAGCAAGTCGGACCGCCAAAAAACGGTCAGGGTCAGTAGGGGCAGCGCACCCTGCTGATTCAGCAACGTCAAGAGAATTTGCAGGACTCTTGACGAAGATTGCTCACAACACACAGTCGTTGTGTGTTATTGTCACTAGTCATGAGGCGTCACTCATCACTTTACGATCGAAGTGAAAATTGGAATGTCACTTCGTGCCCCAGTTGACTGTGGTGTGTCGAATTGTTTCATTCGACGCCAGTCGCTAGAAGTTAGTAGACTCAACTATGGTGAGCGAGATTTCCCTTAGACGAGGATGACGGTGTGCCTTGCTACAGGCGCATCCGTAACAGTGAACAAACGTGTAGTGGGAATCCACTACACGCTAGAAGGAAAATAATACGATGATGAATTTATCGTATTAGATTTGGATGAAACTTTTTGCGTCATCCTCGGTCTGTCATGGCTTAGAAAGTCTCATCCACGGATCAGCTTGCAGCATCGATTGTGAAGATGCCTGCCGTTTGTTCATCGGATGGCCATCTGATGAACGTCTTGAGGCTTCCACTAGAGTTTAGATCTACTGCGAGTGAGTGCGATGGCCTCACTTGTGGTACGGTCGTTAGTACGATTGCACAAGATCACAGTGTAGAAGGCTACTGCACTGTGGAAATGGCTTCCGGCACCTGTGTAGAGGCACAGGCTGCGGCGAAGGTTCACCAATCGAAGAGATCGAGTGGACTGGAACACGGATGCACACCAAGAAGGATGCATTCAAGAAGAGGTATGAGTGTATTCAGTATGAACAACAAGTTGAAGTGAGATCGACTATCAGAAAGTAGATCTTAGAGCAAGCTTAATCGAATGAAATAGATTAGGTCGATGAGAACGTGACCGTGGTAGTACACCCACAGTCAGTGCACATAATAGGATACAGTTATAGCGTTCCTGGGTGTGATACCTCCCGAGAAAGTTATGTTAAGGGTGTGGATCCCCAACCACCTGCGGATGTATTTTCCCAGGAAATCACCGAGACATTGAATGTCTTGGTGAATGACGGATCAAGTGTAGGCGCTTATACACTTGATCTGGTAACACCTCCAAAGTCAGCGTCGGAGGTAATCAAGTTGCCAACGCTAGAATCTAAACAATTCTTGCGAGATCTGCGTAGTGACAATATTAAGCAGATCTGCGTACTCGTCACAGAGGACGAGTACGTCGCTGGTATCAGGTCGGCACAAGTGTTTGCTGAGAACGAACGGGTTCTCAATAGCTCATCGATGAACTAGAATGCCCTCGATGAGAAGACTGGGATTGAGCGACACACGTCTCAATCTTGGAAGTCTTTCAAGACAAATCCTTTGTATAAGGATTTGGTTGAATTTAAAGGTGTTTCCACTGAGTTCGTACCATGCGAGCTGCCCAAGGACGAAGGCACTCGGCATGAGATCGAGCTGAAACCCGGTTCGAAATACTGTGTTATGAAGTAGTGACCACTGCATCGTGAACAGGTCACAGCGATCGACAAATTCTTTGACGAGCGTTTAGCGGCTGGTCATGTGAGGAAATCAACATCCCCACACAGCTCTCCGACCTTCTGTGTGCGAAAAGCCACAGGAGGGTGGCGGAGAGTGCACGCGTTCAACAAACTGAGCGCTGCAACGGTACCGGATCAAACGTCGATCCCAAGGAAGGAAGTCATCATAGATCGTATGGCAAAAAGTACCATCATTTCAACCATGGATCTGACGGATGGATGCTATCAGATCCTCATGCGTGAATGGGACATCCCGTACACAGCAGTGAGCACCCCCAGTGATATGCCCTAAGAGTGGCTAGTGTGGCCGCAGGGGCTAAGCAACGCCCCCAAAACATTTAACAGATGTGTTACGAATCTGTTGCGATCGGTGCGCGACTGTGCACCGAGCTACTTCGACGATGTCTTCGTCAATAGCCAGCTATGGATGGAAAGACAGACGTGGAAGTTTATGTAATCCACGTCCGGAAGCTTCTTACACTAATGCGATTGCACAAATTAATCGCGAGCCTCAAGAATTGTATGTTCGCAGCGAACGAAATGCCACTTCTTGGCTGCATCACGGGTGCACACGGCGTAAGCCCTGATCCGGAAAAGATCAAGGCGATTAGCGACTGGCTTGTGCCAGTCAGCGTCAAGGGACTTCGAAAGTTCCTTGAATTGGCGGCGTACTTGCACAAGTACTCGCGCAACTACGCCGAGATGACCTTACATCTCTCTCGTCTGCTGAAGAAAAACGAGAGGTGGTCATGGAGCGCTGAGTGTCAGCACTGTTTTAAAGGCATCGAGAAGAGCTTGGTGCAATCGCCTGTGTTGGCGACTGCAGACCAGAATAGACCATTCCACGTGGTCTGTGCGTCCAGCGATATTGCAATCGGCCGCGCGTAAATGCAGTACGCCTCAGACGGCGGTGAGCGCGTCGTCTTTTATCAATCGCGTCAGCTGAGCAAAATTATCCGGTGCATGATAAGGAACTCCTTGTCATGAAATACGCAATGGCCAAGTTTCGGGTATATCTCTTAGAAGATAGGCCCTTCATCGTTTATAACGACCATGCGTCATTACGCATGGCCGTAAACAGTCCAACTCTCGCAACGAATGGCGTGGGGGCTGTTTTTCTTCTCGGAGTGCAACTTCTCTGTCGAAAATAGACCAGGAAGACTTCATGTCGTCGCTGATGCTCTTTCGTGTTGGCCCGATTTCGAGCCGACCGCTCAACCCAACAGTAGGGGTGATCCCACTGTCGCGACACTAAAAGTGAGTGTCCCATCGTCGAACCCGCTCGACGACGTGCGAAAAGCATGCACAGAAATGAGCCTCTTCTGCGATTGATGGATTACGTATTCAATCCGTGTAATCAAGCTTTGAAAAGCTTATCGTCTCAAAACTGCTCTTCAACCGAACGGTATTCTGTTCGTGATGGACTGCTGTACTATATAGCAGTCAACGGCGACACACCTCGTGTCGTCGTTTCCGCTCATTATGATTTGCCGCCGCGCCTCATGTATAAGTGTCACGATTCCCCAAGAAGTGGGCATCGCGGTGGAGAAAGACTTACCTCACGGTGAGTCGTGACTTTACTGGCCCCTCCAGTATGAGTTTGTGCGCAAACGCATTCGCGCTTGCGAAGTTTGTCAACAGGTGAAGCCTAGTAATTTTTCTCGCGCAACTTTGCAGCCTCTTTCGATTCCGGCAGAGTGCTGGCAGTCCAAATCAATGAACTTCTTCTTTTGTATCTCAAAGACGCTCACAAGAATACTGGTATTCCTGTGTTTTTTTAATCGGTTTAGCACGATAATACATCTTGTTGCTGTAACAGAGTCGATCACAGCCCAAGGCTGTGCCAGTGTCTCCGTCGAAACTATCTTCCGAATTCACGGTTTACCCCGTGAACTCTTATCTTGCGGTAACTCTTGATTCACGGTGGATATTTTGTAATCCGTGTTCCGTTCACTTGGGACACGTTCAACGATGTCGACTTCTGACCATCCTGTAACGGATGTTTAGACGGAACGCATTAACCGTGTCCTCGGATAGATACTTCGAGAGTGCATCCACTCGTCAACTAGTTGGATTGAGTGCTTGCCAGTGGCGGAATTTACCATCAACAATTCGGTGAATTCGTCGACAACGTACACACCGTTATTCGTGAATGGCCTACGCCACCCACGTTTACCCTCCGTCTTAGAGTATGACTCTAGTTTAAGGGGGGGCTCGGTCGGACAAAAACCGATCTGGTTCTTGCTCATCGCACGTCGACAATGGTGGCGACGTGATGGATGCCGATATCGTTGAGATCGACACCGGTGACGATGATGACGACGATGCTGGTATATTCAGCATTGCCAGCGACTGCTACAATGAGGACGGTGACGCCCTCACAGATGAAGACAACGTTCTTGCAGCGGTGCACACGAAGCGTATGCTGTTGACAAAGATGAATCAGCAGAGGGATTCCTGCTGACTCGCGAAGCGGTTGTCCGCTTCGTTCCAGGATTTATTGCAGATGCAATAGACTAGCAGAAACGAAATACGGACAAACGTGAAAGAGCGAATGTTCTTTCGTTTAATAAGGAAACTTAGTTCCACTTTCTACAGTAAATCTATTTAAACACGCAGTGACAAACGTGGGCAGCAGTAAAGTAATGCCTAAGTATATCGGTCCATTTCGTGTGTTGCGCCGGATGGGCAACGCATTCACGATTGAACTGCCCCGTAAGCTGCGTACGCATCCTGCGTTTTACTTTGGACGTCTCCGCCCGTACTATCTGTACGACCCCGTTTCGAGAGGAGAAGAGCACATCCGCGGTCATGGGCCGAGACCGCCTTTATGTAATCTCATTTCAACGAGACAGTATGGTCGACTAGCGAATCGACCTGTTCACGCAGTTAAGCGATGTCTTGACGAGCCACATCCAGCTCGTCACGAAGAGAGCGAATCGAAAGTTCGTTCTCCAGTTGCTCGAGCGAAAATGCGGCGCTATCGTTCGAACGATCAGGCGCTAAAAAATCGTAATTATCCTTTACAAGTTCATATAGCTCATAACACTGAGTTCGTTCATGGACCAAGTCGTCGAGTAACTGAACCATTACACGGTTCAGTTCCTGAACATCAAGTTGATCCGATCCTCGAGACGGATCCGGTGTTCCTGCTGCCACCACATCCTTTGGTGGACTCAGGCGGCAGTCAACGCTTTCTGGTGGAGCGTATTTTGAACCACCGCGATGTGAAGGGCGTCCAGACGAGTCAAATCGTCCGCTGGCGTGGCAATCCACCGGCCTGTGATAGCTGAAAGCCTCGTGCCCAGCTGATCGTTGGGTCTCGTCGAGCAATATGACGAGAACCATCCGCTGCGTTCGAAGAAGGGCCGTTGGAAAACGACCTCCCCGAAAGCGAGTACAGGGATTGCAAAGTGTCAATCCCTTCGGCCACATCAGAAGAGATGTGCTCCCTCCAGTAGGTAACCTTAGGGAGTTGGGCCTCCCTGGGGGCACGGTTCGAGTTGTCGAGGCAACCTGGACTCGAATCACCCCACTAGATAAGCGTAATCTTACTTCTCTTTAAGTCGGTGCAACTTGTATCGTACACAGACTGGGTTACGCTTCTCAAATCCGATGCGAGCTGCATCAAGTTTATCGAGCCAGGCCTCACGGCTAATGCACTCGATGTCATAGAAGAAGGCTTTATAAACTTGCACCAAGGACGTACTGTCTCGAACACGGCTGCCATTGTACCACCGATGTTTAAAAACGCATCGGTGAAAAACTCTTTCTCAGCACGGATAGTTTCCGGGCTGGAATTAGGAGGACAGACCCTCCTACAGTCGAACAGCGGGATTCGATCCCGTTCGGTGGTCATACCGGCCACTCGATCTAACCCTTCGGATGACGGCATCCAAAGAGACTCCACTTGATGAGCGTGGCGCAGAACATTACGGTCCCTGGCCTCTTGAGTGGTTTCAGCATACGCACTGATACCAGTAGCAGCTTTACCCCTCGAGTTGCTTCTCTCGTGGTGATGCAAAGGGCATCACCACCATCACCACGCGCCCTATCGTCGGATGGAGTTGCTGGTTAACGTGTCGAATCGTCACGTAAACTGTTCACAACAGGCACCGCCTGCTGCTGAATCACTACAACATGTGAAGGATCACCTGCTGCTGAAGCAAGAGAAGAACTCTTTTCGGCTGCACGTATGCGTGCAACCGCTTTTCTTGCTGCTTCTGCAGCACATCGCATGGACTTTGAACCATGTTTTAAATCAACAAATGAGTAATAATTTGACCAACAAGTGCTCCCTTTTTCGGAGTGATCCAGCGGTAGTGACCCTGTCCCAATCATTTAAATTCAATCAACGGGTGTTTGATGGGTAGGGGGGGTGATGTGACGTGGTAGCCCGTTACATGATGTTGACACCAAATGGTGTCAATAAGGGCATCATTTTGCGTGACAATTACTTACCATTATTATTAGAGATGGACAACATTGAAGGAATTTGATCCCCTTTGTAGGATAATATTCATGCGCTGCTCAAAGATTGGTGGGTAAAAGACACATCAACCAAGGTTACCACCAATCGCTGCTAGACGCGCGTAGTGAGTGGTAAGGAGATTGTGGTCATACGATAAGGTAAATCAACAAAAATAAGTTAAGGACTGAAGATACATCGATAGCTTAACTATGTTGAATACAGTTCTCTTTTAACCTTTTCTCAAGCCATTTGTTTGACAAGATTAGCTCCCTCTGCACGTAATAGTGTACGCAAGTATCTTGGCACCCCAAACATAGGGTGCCCCGTTACAGATATCCGTCTGCTTCACGACATATTTCAGCTTTATTAATTCGAACTTAAACTGGTCGCTGGTGTGTTATGGTACGCTGATATAACGTCTTCAGGGACAGAGCAGAGCGCAAAGAACGGTGATCATAAACGTTGCCCTGTAAACTTTGATCTCCCTGTTTGCAATCTACAGTTTACTTTGACAACTTCAGCTTTAACCGCTGCGTTGCATACCCTTGGACGAGACCATGTGAGACAATTGCATTCTCTGCGCCCTTTAAAGACTTAGTGACAATTTCGGTTGGAGGTGGCTCAGGCACCTGTGCAGTACGTTCAGTGAATTTATAGTGGATCAAACGTAAGTCCAGTACTAAACCTCAGCAAAATTGCAGAGGAAAGTTTGTTCCCTCATTTACCTTTGGTCACTAGCTACCCTTCGTTCTTCCGTGTCAATTTTCATGACCACGCAGTTATAGCCCATGAGTGTCTCTGGGATACAAATGAAGCAAGATATTAGTAAGGAGGTTATGCCATATCAAGGCATGATCACGAAAACTTTAATACATAGAAAGGGGGTTGGTAAGGTGGGGAGAGTAATGGAGGAGGACCTAACATTCTGCATCGCACTGTGATCAACTTTCTAATTTATGATAATTTCAGTCGGCATCAGCATTGTAAACTATTTAATTTATGTCCATCCAAGGAGTAATCGTGCTGTAATCAAATGCACTGGCATTGTAAGACAATTTTTATTTATTTCATCCATAGTGTACTTGCGTTGAAAGTAGGGGCAACGGCATTCTATAATACCCAGAATTTTCTTTTATCCAGTGGATGGCCGCGTATAAGATAGGAGGTGTCTATACTAGTCAGTCGCCAAAAAATGCTCCAGATAACTGTAAAAAAAATCCCCCATGGCCTTGAATACTCTACCTTACACCTATAAAGACATTGGGATTCTATTAAGGACTTGGCCTACGATAACCACTATTCACACAAAATAGGATGAGACAATTGTTTTTTTAAAGTGATGAGCCCTTGATTCCGATTACGCGGCCATTCATTGAGCCAGTGTGGACTTTTGCTAATTTTGCCAATAAATGCTTAATCACACCAACACGTATTTATAAGTGCAAAAAAGGAGAAAACTAGGTTATGTAGAGGACCTTAAGGTCGAATTTAGCGGTTTTGTAGATTTTAAAAATCCAGAACCGCCACTATTTACTACCAATTCACTGTATCGGTGTACGTTAGTTGTTTTGCAACACATCAAAACAACGTAGCAGGTGATGTGGCACCAGATATCACCGTTAAAGGGCTGCATGCGAAGTGGTGTCGCATACAATTCGACAGATTCTTGTTGGAGTCCGTTTTACACTATTATTACAGAGTGCATAAATTTATGTATATCTATATCTATATGCTGGCTTGTATTAACACTTTTACAAATAAATTTCTTGCATGTGTTGTTACATTACCACTTGAGCTCTCCACATCCATTGGGTAATCCTTGAATTTAAAAATCAATAACATCACCGACTTTTTCCTGCCACAGTACCAAAATCTCTACGCTAGCACTGGTAAAGCCTTCAAGGTAATAAAATAAGAGTCAAACATAAGAATGGATGCGTGATAGTCTTTTTATTGATTAAAATGCTTAAGTAACTATATTTTACGCGTAGAAAAATGATGGATGTATTAAAAAACAGCACTGTAGTACCAACTACATAAAAAACACACTAAAAACAACAACTACGAAAATAGCAGCAACTACACCCACGACAGGAAAATTGAAATCAGTACGAATAATGTGCATCACTTACTAAACTAACAATAAATGAACATAGCTTAAGCGGCAGCAGCAACAAAAATTGCAACTACGGTACAAACAGCAAAAGTGCAGCACTCGAAACAAAAAACACTATGAAAAATGTGACATTAGAAAACGGTAACAACAATGACAACAATGACAAAAACATACCATTAACTACACCTACATCATCACCAGTAGTCTGCATTTACGGCCGCGGCCGACGATGCAAAGACGCGAGCACAATTTTTTGCCGTCTGCGCCCGCAACCGGTGGCTACATCGGCAGCAGAACCCCCCCCCTACGCATTCCGCATTCAGGGTGGGGGTTGATCACAGCCATTAAAGATTTTTAAAAACGATGGTGTACACAATTTAAAGCAAACTACATAAACTAAATTATGCGAGGACGTAAGGAATTTTATTTACATTTATCTGGAGCATTTTTTGGCGACTGACTAGTATAGACACCTCCTATCTTATACGCGGACATCCACTGGATAAAAGAAAATTCTGGGTATTTTAGAATGCCGTTGCCCCTACTTTCAACATAAGTACACTATGGATGAAATAAATAAAAATTGTCTTACAATGCCAGTGCATTTGATTAGAGCACGATTAGTCCTTGTATGGACATAAATTAAATAGTTTACAATGATGATGCCGACTGAAATTATCATAAATTAGAAAGTTGATCACAGTGCGATGCAGAATGTTAGGTCCTCCTCCATTACTCTCCCCACCTTACCAACCCCCTTTCTATGTATTAAAATTTTCATGATCATGCCTTGATATGGCATAACCTCCTTACTAATATCTTGCTTCATTTGTATCCCAGAGACACTCATGGGCTATAACTGCGTGGCCATGAAAATTGACACGGAAGAACGAAGGGTAGCTAGTGACCAAAGGTAAATGAGGGAACAAACTTTCCTCTGCAATTTTGCTGAGGTTTAGTACTGGAGTTACGTTTGATCCACTATAAATTCACTGAACGTACTGCACAGGTGCCTGAGCCACCTCCAACCGAAATTGTCACTAAGTCCTTAAACGGTGCAGAGAATGCAACTATCTCACATGGTCTCGTCCAAGGGTATGCAACGCAGCGGTTAAAGCTGAAGTTGTCAAAGTAAACTATAGATTGCAATCAGGGAGATCAAAGTTTACAGGGCAACGTTTATGATCACCGTTCTTTGCGCTCTGCTCTGTCCATGAAGGCGTTATATCAGCGTACCATAACACACCGGCGACCATTTTAAGTTCGATTTAATGAAGATAAAATATGTTGTGTAGCAGACTGATATCTGTATCAGTGTAAAGCTTCTTATCAATTTATCGTACCGATATCTGGCATAGGATAGGCCGCCGGTGCAGCTGTCAAACCTGCGATGAACCGAACGACACCACTACATTGTACAAATGTAATAGAATGAATTCAATAAGTGCAAGAGGGACGAATACAATATCGCACACTGGACGCTCCGGCCCTGTCTCTGTAGATTAAACGGATTACTGCAATGTTCATCACACGTAAAAAGTCACGTATTAAGTTACAGGTCGATAGTGGCTTTGCAAGATAATTATTTTTGTGCTTCCGAAGGGCGTATCTATTAGTGACTGTGTGCAAGGTTAACGCATAAGTACAAATCGTACTTAATTTTGTACGTGTCTGTCTGTCATTAACGCGTTTAATTCGACTAAACCCGCACTAAGTGCGATCTAGCCTGTCCCCCCCGGAGGTGCAAGTATATCCAAAATC